ACCCCTAGAATTTCCCTGACCCTTTGGGGACGCTTCCACTTGCCGAGAACACTGACGAATCCAAACAGTGACGTGCGAAAGAATTTCGCCTTTAAAAAAATCGTCAAAACATATACGTCGTAGAAAAATAAATCGCCACGCCGAACAAAACGCAATAGCAAAAATTATTTCAAACATAATTTAAGTGCTGATAAAATTCGCCATCCTACGCAGTTGAACGCTGGGAGTCTTTAAATATTTCCAACTCTACTTTGGAATAGTTCAACACTAAGTGTATCGATTGCATTAGTTGCCAATAATAATAATTTCATGTCTCAAGTAAACGGCGTCATATTTTGGCAAATGTTGCATCATCTAACGCTTAAAATACTATTGCGATACAGCATAGATGTGGATCGGTTTGAGTGTCTTTCAAGTCATTTTCTTAAGAACCACTTTTGACAGCCTAAGACTTAATCTAATATTTTTTGATGACACACAATGCTTAATATTTCTTGATTTACAGGTTTATACGAATCGCGTGTTGGGTCGAAACATCTAACATACATCTTCGACATAAACAATAATACTTACTTTAAACTTCGGTGCTAAACTTGCGTGGGTATTTAATTGAGAAGTATATTGCGAATCAGCCTTATGAATTCTCACTGTTGTACCAAGAACGTATTGCCGATCGAAAGTAATACACTAAATGAACACTACGCGTACAAATCTGCGATCGCAGCTGATCACCACATCGCAGTGTTTTGTTTTCTCCTGTCAAGGCGAGCACGATAGGAAAGCGTCAAACGGAATGGGAAGGGGGGGGGGGGGGGGGCTCAGAAGTAAACGATAGTCAGCTGTTTCACGTTATTCGTTCGTGCCCAGCTGGCTGGGATGCGATTGGAGATTGCGCTCTACGTTTTTCTTTGTTTGATAACACGCAAATCGCTCGCCGTTGCCGTATTTGGCGTATCGACTTGTGGGAAACTGAATTCGGTTGACGTTTGCCGAGCCGAAGGAAACACGGTTCGAAGAGACGGTCGGATCAACGAAATCAAGAGACCACAGACTCAGCCCTGTGTTGGACACCCACACACAATTTGCCTGCTGTTATAAAATTTGATATAACAAAAATATTTTCTCGTGCCGAAATACCTTTCCTTGATCATTGGTTTGTATGCGAAACCATTTTTGAAATGTTGGTTTTATTGTCACCCGGTACATTATCGCACGCGGATTTTTTCAACTTTTGTTTGTCTAGAGAGCGTTCCAGACGCAACCTTGATCAATTTAAAACAGCAACAAAATACGGCTTATCCAGTGAATTGAGTAGCGAACATGTTTAGTATTTATCTTTGACGCGAAAATAACGTGACTAAGTATTATTGTTATGAACGGGAAACCACTTAATGCTGCTTAAAATTTTATCACTTACGTTAATGTTATGTTAAAAACAACATAAACGAGGCATAAAATTTTCCAGAATATTTCCAAATGGCAGTTCAATGTAAAACTGGCAGCCATCTCTGAAAAATCGCTTCCAGTTCAACAAAACTAATAAATCTCGGTAAACGTGGACATTTTTATTTATAACAGTTTTCTATATGGTGTGGTATGTATGGGTCATTTTTATAATAAAGCTTTCATTTTACATGTTTTATGGTTAAAATTGACCAAGGCTCAATTTTCATAAAAAAATATAAGGTTAAAATCGCATATTGCGTTTCAGATTTATATATCGGGTGTTTTTAAAAAAGGTGTATTTTTAAAACAAACGCTTCAAGTTTTTTACCCTTTTTTACGGAGAACTGAACGGTTTAACTACATCATTTTTAAAAGTAATTCTTTAACAGAAAAATCCTTTTTGTATTTATGTAATTGAAAATAAGTTAAAATTCCCTTTCAAAAAATATAACACATTTAGATATTTTATTCCTAGTTTTCTTGAAAAAAAAAGTTTAAACAAATTTTAACAAATCGTCTTTGGACCGTACGATCATAATACAGAAAATTGATAATTGTCAAACCGACGACTCTTAATCAAATCGGGTCGAAAACCTTCTACCAATATGTTTAAGAGGACATTGATGGTGGTATACAGCCTCTGCTTTCTTCCCGATTTTTATAACACAAGCCATCATTATATCCACCATATTAAAACCAAACTAACGTATTAGTAGCCAAAATTTCAATTTAAAGATTACCAATACCCACTTGTTCTCTACATTATGACCAAGCCGTAGCCAAAGTGTAATAACTCAAAAATATGCAGAGCATCCCATGTACAAAATCAATGTTTTGTGCTGGTACTTAACTATTAAGCTATAAGCTTTAAAATATACTATTCTTGAACAATTAAAATATGGGTAAAAAGGTGCTGAAAAAAAAAAAAAACTTTTGACTAGTAATACCACTAGAGGCCTAAAATTTACGGATTTATTTGACCTCGTGTAATATTTGGTAAGAAACTTTCACAACAGTAGTTTTTAAACAATCAAAATTGATTTTGTTGACAGATTTCCATACCAACGCAAGTTTCTATTAAAATATCCAGTATAATTCGCTGTTGGTTACTAGGATTTTTTTTTACTAAAATTCATCCGTGGCCATGGTGATGTCAGAAAACTCCTTTTTATTGGTTAAAAATTACAGATGTCGAATTTTCATAAATACACATACCTTTTTTTTTTAGAAGACGAAAGAAGAAGAAAATACCGTATATTTTTGGTTAGTTAGTTTTTTTAATGTTGTTTTTTAAAAAATACCTTATAATTTTGAAATGGTAACAGATATCCATGTGCGATTTTTACCACTATATTTTTTATGAAAATTAAGCGCCAATCCTTAATTCTATAAGGCCACCGTAATGTGACAAAAAAAAAACAAATTTACGTAACCAATTGAAAACAGAACTATGTTTTTCAGTTGCTGTTATGGTCTGTTCATAGATATAAGAAAGTGACCAATGCTTTTGAACGGATTATCCAAGGGTGGTCATTAACATAATGCAACAAGATTATTACCTTAATTAATAATTAGTAATTAATAATTAACCGATTAATAATAATAATCTTGTTGCATTGTATGTTAATGACAACCCTTGTATAATCTATTCAAAAGCAATTGGTCATTTTATTATATTTATGAACATACCATACCTGAATGCACTGCTTTCGTCAAGTGGACAATTCAAAAAGTGAAAAAAATTATAATAAACACCGCGAAGTGTCATGTTATTCCAACTCTGACTGGTCCAAAATCCGTGTAGCATGAAGACGTTCGATATATTTTTTGTGGTGCTTATTTTTGTCTTGGTTGAGTACCATCCCAAAACAAATCAACACATTTTCGGGACACCTACTCACAGGCGTCACGAATTGAAATGTTGCACGAAAGTAGCTACCGTAATGGCCGAGTTTTGGCGAGATAAATGTTATTATTATTCACGCGCCGAAAGTATACGCTTTTAGAAAAATTGGAAAGCATTTTGAAACGCGTTATTTAAAGCAGGTAGCAGATAACAATAAAAATTTACTAGACAAACTATGTCCTGCCAAGAGACATTTTCAGTCGGTGTAATTAAATAAATTTTGAAATGCAGTACATTTGGCTATTAACATATTTGTCTATTAAAAGAAAATTGCAAGTACACGCACACCTACACAGATGACGAAACATTTTATCGCTCCATAGGAAACTTCCAGTGTGTCAAATATATGTTGTCATATTTGTAAAGGATACATCATATTTTCTATCTCACTTCAATTTCTCCTACTTTTCTTACCGCTGTGTAATCTTTTGATTAGTTTGGCATACGCACGTTTTGAAATAAATAAAAATTGATATAAATGTAAACTTTTAATTTTTAATGGTTTCACTAAGCTATTGATGGTTGAATGTCAGTAGTTTTGCCAGATCTCAGGTCCAACTTACTTTTTTTTTGTTTGGAAGTAAGGAATTACAGAAACTGCAAACTCGCAAAACTAAGATAAAACGATAATTTTCATTAAAAAATATGGACCAACCTTGTTGCACATTTCAAAATGTCCGTCTTCATGACAATTTATTAAAAACATATGCAACCAAAACGGAATATTTCAAAATAACGTCACCAAAACTCCTGCGCTACTTTTATATAAAATATAAATAATATAAAAAATATATAAAATACATATGTACCTATAACAACCATTTAAAAAAATCTCACTTTTAAACTTCTTCAATTAGATTTCCAAAATACCAAAAAGTTGGCCGGCTTGTCAATTCTTTAATTTAATATTTCTGGTTCTCATGTTCTCGCGGTATTATCTATATTGAATTATTTTATCAATTTAACCTTCTTCAAATCGTTGAAAAATGCCAAAATGACAAACCAAAAACAAAAACAGAAATATCTCCGAAAACATCCGATTGCTCCCAAACCCGTGCGGTAAAATCCCGGAAATGTCCGAAGTGGCTTGGATCCGTGTTAAACGAAACTGACGTGGTAAAGGGACGCTTCCCGCACGCTAGATAAGTGTGTAATTAGGTATCTTACAGACGGGAGTAGAAAAAAATATTTATTGAACAATTTATTGATCACAAGGTGGCAGTATTTATTTTTTTAATATTTTTAATTTCTAAATAATATTATGGAGATAAAATCAAATTATCAAGTTTCCTTATTGTTTTACTTATTTCATATATATTATTATAAAAATTATTTATTTATGAAACAAAATCAGTTTTACTTATACCGTTATTAGCTAATAGTATTAACGTGTATGACAAAGAAAACAATCTCGTCTTAATCTATGTATGATTCACGAAATCCAAATTCTAATATGCACCATTTCAATTCGATATATAAGTTCACACTGATATTGTATAAATAAATTCAAATCAATTAACTTAATATTAGTACTATTTTAAAGGATTATTTAACATAAAGCTGAAATCGAAGCAGGCACGAGCAAGTGCATACGATTCAACTTTGATAGTTCCACGAGAGTCCCTCACGTTACCTTAACGCAAAAAGCGTACGCGTCCATATCTGCAACGTAGCGCTGGTTTGTATATAAGGCGTTATTTGTATTTACCGTCTTTCACCAGCGACGAGAAAAAAAACGAACCAACTCCAACGCTCGGTTTAGAACAATGCGATTTATGGGCACCGGCAAAGTTTCGACGCGTAACGATACCACTAAACATCCTCCAATCAACGTCGTAGAGGAACGGTAATGGTCAACTGTATTGGTGATGTTTAACATTGCGCTCGAGGTAATTTCAAGAACTGGTCAGATTTCGGTAAGTGAAATATAAAATAATAACGAATAAAATTTACATGGCTCTAAAAGTTTTTAAATTGTCGCTTTTACAAATGTATAACAAAAGTTAGGTTATGAGAAACCCGTTGTGAGCATCTACCTAACTCAAGTTCTATCAGTTCAGAATTATAGCGTAACATGTTGTAACAAATTAGAAGTTCAGTTGTGCTGATGCCCTTTGCATTGTTGTTGCATTAAAATCAGTAAAGAGCAAAAATTTAACAGCATCTCTTTCGATATTAAGAATTATTGATGGGTCGGCTAGGTGCTCAAAAACATAAATTTCTATGTAGTTGACGTTTCGATAATTGCCTTCTTTAGGACTCTAAAAGAGATCACATATACTTAAAATCGTGTTTCTTCAACGAACTCATTCACAACAGCGCACTTATATATAAAAAGAGGAAAATAAATGTTTATAAAACCATGAAAATTACTGTTGCTATTGGTTTTTGATCTTGGTTGAGTATATATGAAATGCAATAACAAAAAACTAGTGACAAACAACAATTAAGGCTTAACAAGGGTTACATGCAACTAAAAATAAACGAAATTCACAATAAGGTTGATTTTCCGCGTTGATATGTATGTACAGTAGTATCGTGGCCCATTAATTAGACATTTTTAAACATGTATAAACCCAACCCAAAATCCATCAAATCCTTAATATTAAAATCAGTTTCGGAGATATACGTGAAAAACACGTAAATTGATAATTCACAATTTTTTCTATTGCGTTATTTTCAAGTATCTGCTCTAGCGATAAGCCTCAGCTTACTTTCGCAAATACGCTCCTGGTGCATGTTTAAGAAAAGGAGACAGGAGTCGGCGAGTGGAAGCAAGACAAGGAGATGCGGAAGTGACGAAAGATGTAAATATAATCCGCTCGTAAGTAATTGCAGTAAGTAAAAATTGGTGTTCTATTTTGTAACTCTTAATAATTTTCGTAATAAATATTCTCCCTTCATCTGTATGTCAATGTATAAACAATTTGGGGTTTGGGTATTTGAATAACAATTTAAATATTTACATGATTTCTCAGAAACTGCTGCCAAAATCAAGATTTACCAAGTATACCACCAAATATATCTCTGTCAGTGGCTAGAGGCGGTTAATAAAAAAACACTTACCTTAATTTGCTAATAAGACTAGATAAATGATTGCTCCGTTTCTGGTCTAGTTGTTGCTTGATAAAAAAATTATCACGCACTATTTCGGCAAAACTCCGATTATTAGGGTTTTTCTGTTTCTGAAAACAAAGTTAAATGGTACAGAACTCTCAAATCTAACTGTGGTGGTTTTAGTTTTTGTGGATAATGAACAATTTTCGATCATTATGGGTACGGTCCTGTCCCCGACAATGTTGGGTTGTGCTTTTCAAAAAATAATTCATTTTCGATCTCATTTGCAAGTTCAACTATTATTCTGAACAAAGGGTGGTTTAAAACCTTGATAGCAAATTATTTTGTAAATAATATGTATACACAACTGCGCAGGCCCCTGAAATCGGTTAATTTTCGAACGCATCACACATCCACAGTCGACTGACAACAGCGCTCTCTGTCTTTTAGTTACATCATCGATCGTGGTTTGGTTTAGCAGCGTAATCCCAACAAAGAAAATTCAGTCAAAATAACACCAAAATATATCAAACAGGTAATTTACTTGACAAACTTTGAAATCAATTACTATGCGTACGAAAAGCCTACTGGGTTACACTAAAATTGTTATTCTCCTTGCATTATTCAGATCAGCTGATTTGGAAACCAGTAGTTTATTAATTTCTTTATCTCAACCGATAATCTGTAATTTTGATGCCAAAAAAATGCTTGATATTTGCTCACCTTTTGCGTTTCGGTGATTTCTACACTAGCGACAGGGATGCGAGGGGGTCAAAATCACAATAAATCGGTGACAACAACGCTTAACAAACAGCAGCATTCAGCTAGGCGCCGAACACGACTGATCATAGTGATCGCGCGGCAGGCTTTGGAAAGGGAAAAGGGCACACAGCTGAGCGGAACGGTCAGGACCGTACTGACAACTTATGTTTTATGGCGCTTTTAATAAAAAGTTTATTCAAATAGATACTTTGGAGGGACAATTTTTATTCCTTTAATTCAAAAAGCAGGCGTTTCAGCTTATTATTGATCCAAAAACAAAAAAAAAAAAATAAAGGAAAATAATATATTTTTTAAAAAATGTTCTGTTGTGTTTGTCTCTGGCTTGATTTAACAAGTCAAATATGCATAAATCCTTGCTACTATCATTGTATCCAAACGTCTACAGCAAATTGCAAAACATGACCATTAACCCAGTTGCATGATCAATTATGTTTATTTATAATAAGGTTCTCAAAACCTTTTCCCTATATAAAAAATGTTTTGTCTGGTCTGGTCTTCTAGTTTTTGCCGAAGTTTCTCAGAAGAAACTGTTACTTACCCAGAGTGTTATTTTGAGGATACATTGTCGAGGCAGAAATATATTCTTTATTTAACGCACTTTGTTAAATTTTAGAGCAAACAACCGGGGTAAATTATAATGACGAGATTAGCATCTGCTTTCATAAAATGTATGGCACGATCCAAAAAAGGGTGTGGAAAGTATTCGCTGGCTAGCGTCAGCGGCGTCGCAGGGTTGGGCGCTTTACTTCTTACCCGAGAGGGTAAAAATGACGATGACAACATCGTATTGGGCACGAAGGGGTTGCTTAGGTTTGTTAGGTGAGTATCTTTCATAAACAATAAAATTTTAATTTTTGCGTTACCAAATTTCGTATTATTCAAATTTAAGATAAAGGATTTGTTGTGTACTTTTAGATCTGTTCGAATAGGGTTAACAATAACATTAGACTATTACGTATCGATGCAAGGCCTCACGGACGGTAAACCAAATTATGACGTAATGATGAGCCGAATCCACCGAAGATGTGCGGAACGTATTAGGGACGGTTGTCTTCAAAATGGTGGAACCTATGTTAAATTGGGACAGGGATTAGTATCGTTAAGTCATATTTTACCCAAGGAGTATATAGACAGCTTAAAAATATTGCAGGTGATGAGTTAGCCTTCCTACATTGATTTTGGTATCTATTGAGTCAAAATAATTCTTCGCCTCTCCGCACTGGCGCTTTCGATCTTCCAACTTCCAACGACAAAATATATTAACACCATAATCACGATAGTTACTCCGATTAGATATTTTTGCGGCTTTAAAAATAAATCTGCATTGTTATGCTGTAATGAAAAGTTGCACGAAAATCGTTTCGATAAATAAATAATTGTTGACCTGTTGAAAAAGCTATTTAAAATTTATATTATTGACACAGTGAAAACATACACAATGATGAAAATAAATTGTAGGATAAATGCTTGAAACGAGAAAAAGACGAATTGTATCAAATATTTGAAGAAGATTTTGGTCAAAAACCGGAAGAGTTATTTCAATCTTTCGATATCGAACCGATAGCAGCTGCAAGTATCGCACAGGTTAGCTCACATTCTCAAGACTATATCTTAAATTTAAGAAAACGTTTTAGGGGTATTTTTAGGTTTTTAAAGCTACCACCAGGGATGGCCAAGAAGTCGCTATCAAAGTTCAATATAAAGATTTACGAAGGCGATTGAACGGCGATATTCTTACCTTAAAAATCCTCTTGAAGACCGGCACTTGGTTCCATCCCAAAGTAGACTTATCCTGGATAGTCGATGAGTTTAGGGAGACTTTAAGCCAAGAGTTAGACTTTATTAATGAAGGATTGAACGGTGAAAGGTGTGCGAGGGATCTGCATCACCTCAAATATGTATATATACCTACAGTTTTGTGGAATTACACCAGTCCAGTAAGTATTAATGACTCATATGTACCTACTTTATCGCATGTATTATTTTCCCAGAGAATATTAGTTACTGAATTTATCGATGCTATTAAAATAAACAACCTTCAAGCTCTCAAACAGAACGGATTTTCACTTGCAGATATTAACAATAAAATGTTTGAAGCGTTTGGATATCAAATTTTTAAAGCTGGTTTTGTTCACGCCGATCCTCATCCGGGAAATGGTCAGTGTTCGATAAGATATTAAGACTTTTTAGTTGAGGTCGAATGAATTTTAGTTATGGTTCGAAGACAAAATGGTAAAACTGAATTGATCATTCTCGACCATGGTCTTTACCAAGAAGTACTGGATACAGAAAGGATTGCCCTGAGTCATATGTGGAAAGCAATAGTATTGGGAGACCATAGGAACATGCGAAAATACTCTAACATATTAGGGGTTGAAGGTAACAATAAACAATGTTCTACTTAGCAAGGTTTATGACCTATACTATTTTGGAACACTAACTATACTAATCTAAGATAATTTTTTAATTAAAAGAATATTTTTGTGCACCCTTTGCAAGTATTTAAATGGAGAAGTGTATTCTTTTAGATTATGAAAAATTTGCGGAAATCCTTACACAAGCTCCACTCAAATCCAGAGGTTTTAAACTAAAGAAAAAGCTGTCAGAAGAAGATTTAGCGTACATGCAACAGCAGACTGCTGAACATTTCGACGAAATTACTCGTTGCTTGCAACAAATGCCCAAAACTCTCATCTTGGTTGTAAGGTATACAAACACGTATTTTTCAAATTTTACCATAGATTAAGGCAGCTTGTTTCCAGGAATTTAAATACTTTGAGAGCTATATCATTTGATCACGGTTCTCCCGTGGATAGGTATGCGATATTGGCCAGGATGGCGTCTAAAGCTGCCTTTGACGACGAAAGCAAGGGAAACGGGAAGATTAAACAAATTACAGTGAAATTATGGTTTGAGTTGGCGCTAATGTAAGTGGTTATATGATGTATGAATATTATTGTGAAACGGTGACAAACTTTGATTTTTTTTAGAATTAACAAATTTGTAACCTTCTGGAGGATTGTCTTGGTGGACATTTTCTACAAATTAGGATTGATTCCAAATATCAAACCGTTGATTGATATGGAAATAAACAGACAACTATAAACCTTAAGTACATAATTAGGAACTGTGTAATGAGTGACATTGTTCCATTTTAATATATTATCCAGAGGTTAAATTTTACTCCATTACATTATTGTATAACTTAGGACTCAATAAAGCGATGTATATATTGTTTTTTTTTTTACTTTCGATTGATAAAGGATAATAAAAGGTTTTTATCCTTTTTTTTTACTAGTCCGACAAGTTTATGATACATTTGGATGGGTCCACCAGATATTTGTATATACAAGGGAGTATGGTTAAATGAAATATATTTTAAATAGCATCCAAGGTGAAATAAATATAAATTATTGCATAAAATAAATGGTGGTATAAGTTTTTTCTCCTTTTTGGGTAGTCTGCAATATATTTTAAAGTCCCACAAATTTAGGATACATGATTTATGATCCAAGGTAAAAGAAATACATTCTCTTTCATATTCATTTCAATATAATTTTGCTTACCTTGACAAAGCTTTAATTACCTCTGGGACTGAATTTTTTGTTGATATGAATAAACCACCAGCATCTGTTAATATTAGTTAAGTACAACTTCTTAGAGTTTTAGTTACAATGAGAAAAATGAAAAACATCAAAACCGGTAATGGTATATTAATTACTCTGTTACAAGAAACAGTCTTCTGTTTGAAACTGATGCCATGTGCAATAAAAAATAATGACTTTTATTCAGATGATTTTGAAAAGTCAAAAAAAAAATTCTATGTTGAATGTCAAAAGCAAAACCAATACTTACAACACAAACGTATAATCATTAAAAATGTGGCTTCTATAATATCAATTATTATATAAATTTCGATATTGCAAATTGCTATTTGACTACCTAAGCTGTTTTTGCTCGGATCGCGGCACGTTTGGATGTTACAGCCTAAAACAACAAAAGATTTGTTATTGAGGAAAAATTTGAGGAAAATCAAATCAACATTTTTAATCCAAAAATGACATATGATATGACAAAAATAACAAAGTTTACCTGGAAACCAGATTTTATGCTAGCTACTGAACACCTGGACCCGCAGGTTTCACATTGCAAGAAAAACAATCTGGTGTCTTTTTGCAATATTGTATCAGGTGATCTGCAGGTATGACAAGTAACATATTCCTTAATATATCTGTAACAACAACGAATTGGCAATATAAATCTGACTGATCACTTTTTTTACATGTTACCTTCTTAATACATTTTCAATTTGCTTTTGTTGAAATCTACCCTTAATGATTAATTGGCTGTTGCCATCGACAGATCCACTAGTACCCAGTTCTGCCAGCAAGAAATCCAACAGATGTTTGGCTTGCCTGTGGAGCATTCTGCAGATTTCCGTGAAGTTAGCGAATGATGTTTTCTTAGCGCCAATCTTTACCACCTAAAAATTTAAATTATATATTTTCACAAATTTGTGGTCTATTAACGTTTTTACTTGGGGAGGTCTCATGACAAACTTTTGCTTTTTCCCTGATGCCATATCAGGATTTTTGTCCCTCATTATTTCGAAGGCTCTATTCAAAAGTTCTTCATATGTGTAATCACGATCTGATCCCGTCCAGGTAACTGAATTTTCATCCACTACGAAAAATTGGAAACTAGTTAGGCCAAATAGCAAAATAAAATGGCATAAAAATATATCTACTATAAATAAAATCTAAATATCACTTATATCACAGGCATAGATTTCTTACCCGTCTCTGATATTCTTTCAACAATATTGCAGCATGTTGAAAAAAGAGACATTACATATAATAATTTGTTTTAAATCAATGAAATTGTTGACTTGTAAACTTAATTTATTATTTATACAGGGGAATAAGTAACTAGCAATATTTAGAAAAGATACCCCGAGAAATTACCCTATTGCATGTGCCCTATTTACCATTTTCCTTATCATCCAATTTTTCTTCAGCCATCAGCTCATCAAAATCTTTTTTCTTCTTATTTTTCTTCTTTTTTGTTTTACTAAGATCGGTGAGCAAATCTATGTCAAAATTATCTTCACCAACATCCTCATCCTGAACGCCTCCTTTGTCTTTTACTTCACTTACGGCCACATCCAAATCATCGGTACTAAAGTGAAATACTTTCTTATCCACATATTTAAAAAAAGTATTGAAAAATTACCCAACTGGCTTCTTTCGGCCCTTCTTCTTCTTTTTTGTGAAATCAAGGTCTACGTCTACATTGTTGTCCACAACCTCCTCTTCCTTAAAAGGAACCTCTGCTTCATTGGTATTTAATTGTGGTTCTGAAACTTCTTCACTAGTACCTTCTGCAAAGGCTGCATCTATGTCATATTTGGTTTTTTTGATCTTTTTCTTCTTCTTTTTCAAAGAAGGATCAAAAATCTAGAAAATAAGGGAAGTGGTTAAATTGATAACAATCAATAGTGGCGGTAAACAAGAAAATGATTATGAATTAGCTTTCCAAAACCAAATCTCCCTTCATGCCCAGACAAATGACAATATGCTTTGTGCTTATGAATGGCAACAGATACTTTCTTCAAATTGAGATTTTTTTAGCATATAGCAAAATTATTTAACAATATCTGCTGTTATAATTTATTAGGGTTGGTACTAAGAAATTTACAATTAGCTTGGGAGACGTATGGAAACGCAGAGGGTGAAGTCTCATAAGTAAAGGAGCAATTGGATAATCAATGTGAAACACAGTTTCATATTTTTTTCATGGGCAAGATAAGACACTGAAAATAACAACTTAAAGTTTGTTTAAAATGTATATAAATCAACCATTCATGTTTTACACACAATATATAATTTATCACGTTTCACCTTCCAAATTTAACCTCAAAATAAAAATCATTTTTGGAGTATTACGTTTACTTACACCTTCATCTTCTGCCATTCTGAATACAATTACTTCTTGAACACTTCAACGCGTTTCGCACAAGAAATTATTTATTTAACTTATCTTACGATTAGTGACTGTGATATTGCATCAGCCACAAATGATTTTATTTACTCAAAATGACAATATTGACAGATATTTGACAGTGCTAGAGAAAACGAGGACCAATATCTGTAGGATAAATTATTTTAATTCTCTATTGTATATTTTTTTACTTGATTTGAGTAACCTTTTTAATGATATTACCATAAAATTTTAGATTTTCTAATTTGCGACCAAAAGTAAATTATTTTAGAGTTTTTGTTATTGTATTCCGTGGTCCATTATACTTTATGGTCCATATCACTGACCCAATTGAGGAAAGAAGAATGACAGAAATGTGCTGGATGAAAGTGTAACTTTTTTCTTCAGTTTGTAACTTTATTTTTTAATATTTTGTTTTATCATCCTAGAAGCCAATAATGAAATTGTTTCTATTTCTACATTAATATGCCCTCAACTATTTCTTTGTATATTATGAGTTCTAAGTTCACAATAGATATTGTAAATGTTTTGTGATTGTTTTTCTTTATAAAAGGTAAGAACTTTAAAGAACTGCATATTTTATATTTTGTAATCTGTGTTCCATAATTTCCTTTAAATTTGAAATTGATGTTTCTAATGTACCATGTAATGTATTGTTTATTCACAATAATATAGATACATTTAGTTTCCTATATTTTAATAAACGTCTTAAAAAATTGATATTCACTTTAAACCAACCTTGGGTAGCAGTAGGCAAGGAATATTTCGTGGATGTTAATGCTGAATTGTTGGTTTCATCGTTTAATTCATATTTAGAATTTAAAAAAAGCTCATCACAGACGACAATTTACGAATTTTCGTTTTTTTTCTTTATTTTTTTTCTGCTCATATTTTTGCTTTGTTGTTTGTTTTTTTTTTATTTATTAGAAATAACTGCTACTGTCTAACAGTCATTCCATTTTACATTATGCCATTAATATAAATTTATTTGAATAACAAAAAAGACATTAAATGTTTTTTAACCTTAAAAAAGTAATTTTCAATTTATAACCCCTATTAGATAGTGACTTATTGCAAAGTTATTAAGTAAATACAGGTATAAATCCGCTCCAGCTTAAAATTGTTTCTATCAAAATTTTCCTGCCATATTGGAATTGGGGGAAAACAATGCTGTAAAAATAATCTGATCATTGTAAATTTAATGAAATAATACTTATTTTGTTTAACGAATTGCGTCTGTCCAATCATTCAATGGGTTAAAAAATTCTATTCTAAGAATCCGGCTCAGTGCTTTTTCAAATACAAATCATTAACATTTCAGCTTCCATTATAATGTCTTGCTAATAATTGACAGTATATTATTTATTTATCTCTTATAGTTTCCGAGATCCCAAATGATTTTGAATTGGATTTTGAATTACCCTGTATACCTGTATCGCATTTATAGGAATTCAAAGTAAACAGTGTTTTCCATTATCTGCCTATATGCCATATGTTTGCATATGATTTAGAAATGTTATTCTGTTTTAACATTGAGTGGTGATGTGCAGCGAATGATAACTGCAATATTTTTTTAGTAAGCTAAACCATTTTCCATTTTCTATAAAGGCGTATATGCAAATATCTTTCGTTTTTTATGATTGTATCTTAAAATCAAATCATATTGATGTCATCTTAATCTTAATCTTAAGGATTAAAATTTCATCTGTATTCTGAGATTTAATTTATTTTTTTAAACGATTTAATTTCTTTGCTGGGAAATTTATTTAGTATTCCTTTTGCTTCATTTATTTTTTAATCACGTTAATTTACAATTTTTGGTGTGATTAAATTGCGTTTAACATATTTTCAAATTTATTACTTATATGAATGAAATGGATAGAGAGTATTTTTCTTTATTTTAGTAATTTTAGTAATATGTTCAACCTACTTAGTGGATTTAGATCACCTTCGGGCTCCGGCTACATATCTGAAATGGAACAAATTATCAGCCAACTTGAACGTGGCACGATAGTAACAAAATTTTCGTGGAGAAAGAAAACAGAACGGAAAACATTAGCCATACGGAGAGAAACGAGGCAGTTGATTTGGACGCGGACAGTATCTCTTAAACCCTTATCAGACGATACATTGAATTTAGCTGAGAGATGGGCGCAAGATTCACGTCTGGATATAAGAAAGCCTAGTTTCGAGGGAGCTGTGAATTTGTCAGAAATCAAAGAAGTTAGGTTAGGGAAAAATTCAAAAGACTTTGAGAAGTGGCCTGACGAAGCCAACAAGCTGGATAATAAGAAGTGCTTTGTGGTCTTCTATGGATCTGAATTTAAGCTAAGAATTTTGAGTATTGCAGCTCTGTCGGATGAAGAATGTAAATTGTGGATAAAGGGCTTGAAATATCTCGTTAAAGACACCATGAGCGCGCCATATTCATTGCAGGTTCAGAGTTGGTTGAGGAGAGAATTTTATGAAATGGAAGGATCCAGAGAAACGTTAGTATTTTACAAAATAAATTAAAACTGTCAAGGTTTTGCATTTTTGTTTAACATTTAGGGTAAATATGAAAGACATAAAGTCTTTCTTACCGAGAATTAATTATAAGCTTCCAACAAACAGACTTAGGGAAATTTTTAATGAAGTTGATACACGTAAACGAACTGAAATAGGATTTGATGATTTTACTATTTTGTATCAAAAACTTATATTTGATGATAAGGTGAGTGACTTATATTACTGGAATGTGCAGTGTCGTTTAATGCCTTATATTTTTTAGAATACTACTGAAGTTTTTGAGAGATTGCCAGAATATTCTTCCGATCATAAAACAGTAACACTCCAGGAATTTGAAAGTTTTTTGGTAAAGGAACAGGAAGATCCTTTAGGCAATGATCCCAGAAGTGTTTCTCAACTTATTTACAATTTCCTAGGGGATCCACTCCAAGAAGTCCAAGAACCAAGCTTTACCACATCAGAATTTTTAGACTTTTTATTTTCTAAGCAAAATGATTTATGGGATCCCACTAAGAATAATGTTTATCATGATATGTCCAGACCTTTGTCCCACTATTGGATTGCCTCTTCCCATAACACGTAAGCAAAAGGTTGCGCCCTTAATTATTTATTAAATTGTAATATTAATCTTGTTCAGATATTTAACAGGTGATCAGTTTTCCTCTGAATCGTCTGTAGAAGCTTATGTTCGTTGCCTTCGGATGGGGTGCCGCTGCATAGAGCTTGATTGTTGGGATGGTCCAGATTGTACACCTTACATTTTTCATGGACACACACTAACCACCAAAATTAAGTTTATTGACGTCCTTAGAACAATAAAAGAGCATGCTTTCGCTACTTCCGAGTACCCTGTGATATTGTCTATTGAGGATAACTGTTCATTGCCGCAGCAAAGGAAAATGGCATTAAATTTGCAGGTTATTATTTTACTTCCTCCATTAACATAATATATGTTAGCTGCATATAGAAAAGACTTTTATATGTGCTCCCTACTGCATGTTTAAGAAGCAAAAAATCAGATAAATTTATTTGTTGTTTGTTTACAAAGCCAAAAAAAAGAAACAAAAAAATCCCATATATAGGGAACATACAGAGGAATACTTGAACATTACTTTATGAAAATGTGACTAAAAGGAACATGGACTTTTCTTTATTCAAAATTCTTTTCATTATTCAAAATCGTTTAAACCCAGTGAGATCTATATGAGGTAAATTTAATTGGACATTATTTCTTTTTGATAAACTCTTTATTTTACGAACTGTAAGATGGGAAGAATTTATTGATAGGCCCAACCCAGGCCAGACAAAGTGTTAAAGTAAATAGTCAAAGTAAATATGTATTTACATTGTAAAAAAACACTAAAGTCTACACAAAACTGACAAATAGTAAATATGAGATTCCAAAGTATATTAAATGTCCATGTTATGATACGAATAAAGCGCTATCACTAATCTGCAATTAAAATTTACCCCCTTATATTGTAGGATGTCTTTGGGGATATGCTTCTCACTCATCCAGTCAGCAAAAACGAGAACGAACTCCCGTCGCCCCAAAGTTTGCGATTTAAAGTAATTTTAAAACACAAAAAGCTTCCAGAGGGTCAGGACGAAAGTTCATTTTTTGTTCATAATGACGTTTCTGACATAGATCTCCGGAATTCCGTAAAAAACGGGGTCATGTATATTGAAGACGCTGTGGACAAGGAATGGAGTCCTCATTTTTTTGTTTTAAGTCCCAATAAATTGTTTTATACCAATAGTTACAAACCAGATGGGGATGGTTCAGAAAGGTAAGTTAGTATATGTTACAATCTTAGCGAAAATTTTAATTACAATTTATGTGTTTTATATATGCGATTCCATTCTAATAGTTACTCTTACTTAAAATTTCCAAGATTTTAAAGGTAGACTATAGAATTTTGTATGCATATTATTCATCTATTTTACTGTAAAATAAAAGCCTGAAAGGATTTTACTGTATCTTCCAAGCATCAAGAAAGCGAAACAAATTTCAAATTTTCCGTTCCACGGTCCTGCGTTATAAAATCATATAAACTCTGCGCTATTTGATTCACTAGATGTTTCATAAATCTCAGGTAGATGGCGCTCGAGTGATATAAATTCTAATTCAAAAAATTAGTTAAATTTTAAAGGCAAAAGTTATCTCATACAGGGTATACAAGGTATTGTTAAAATAATAACATCTCAGGCTCAAGGGCATGGCAAAAAAAATATATTGACGGTTACAAAAAAATTGCTCTAAAAATTCAGTATAAATAGCAATAAGGTTGCGATACTGTAGCCTAATATAGTAATTTTTTATGTTAACTTTTAGATCTGAAGATGAAGATGATGTGCCCACATTTCAAAGGCCTAAAAGCAACATACCAAATGAAGAGTTACATTACAGTGAAAAGTGGTTTCACGGAAAACTTGAGAAAGGGAGAGAGGAGGCGGAACAACTGCTGAGAGACTATTCTCATTTAGGTAATATTTTGAAATTTTACCTCTAGGTTGCAGTCAAGATCTTTGTTTAGGTGATGGAACTTTTTTGGTGAGAGCGAGTGTTACATTTGTCGGCGAATACTGTCTGTCTTTTTGGCGTAATGGTCAAGTAAATCATTGTAGGATTCGTTCCAAACAAGACAAACAACAAACCAAGTATTACCTTATCGACGGAAAGTATTTTGACAGTTTATATAGTTTGATTACGCATTACAGGTAGATATATTTTTTTAAAAAATCGGTCTGGCTCCTGTAATTCAACTTAAAATTTTCAGATCTTCGCCCCTAGTCACTACAGACTTTTCGATAACTCTTCAGGAGCCTGTACCTCAGCCGAATCGCCATGAGAGCGAAGTGTGGTATCACAAATCGACAACCAAACAGAAGGCGGAGGAAGCTTTGAAAAAAATACGGACCGACGGCGCATTTTTGGTTAGACCCAGCGAGAACGACACAAATTGCTATACCATAAGTTTCAGGTATTGCAAAACAAGGTCCCCCACTTGCAATCATAGTCTATCTTTGAAATTTTCAGGGCGGACAAGAAAATCAAGCACTGCCGCATCAAACTTGAAGGTCGTTTGTATACAATAGGCAATGTCGAATTTGAAAGTTTAGTCGAATTAATTAACTACTATGAAACTCACCCGTTGTACAGGCGAGTTAAGTTGAGTCATCCTGTTAGTGAAGAAACAGTCAGAATGGTGACCGCGGTAAGAGTGATTTATAACTTTGGTTTGGTTTTATTGATTTTAATAATAAGATTGTGATTTTAACAAAAAATAAATGAATTCTTGAGTGAATAGTTTGCTGAGTACATATAAAGCTTGCAAACGGCTGAAAACAATCGGACAAATCGCGATATTAACAAGATTGGTCAGAAATTTGGCTCGCAAGTGAGCTTTTTAAAAATATCTCGAGAGGAGCATTGTTTTGAATGCGGTTTAAATTGTAGGCTTTGTTATGAGTGCAAATCTGAATAACTTTCAAAAATCGGTAGAAACTATTATACTATATACTAAATAAAATAGTATATAATTTCAGCATTTGTCTATTTTTACGTACATAAAATCTGATGATATTTGAAACTTGTCAGGTTTGTACATGACGTGTCAACCTTGAAACTAAAAATAACTGATAACCAGCTTTACCTTTCTAACATATGACATTATCGAACTACTTAACCCCTCCATACTCAACTATCTTAACCTAAGGTCAACAAATTGTATTTACTTGTTTATCGAATTTTACTAGTGTCTTTCAATATTCTGGGTTCAATCCAGATGGTAACGTCAACTGCTGTGTTATAAGCAGAAAATTGGACACAACTCGAATGCTGATAAGGATAGACCAGATTGTATAATAGGAATTGTGAAATTGATTCTGCCCAAAAAAAGGTTAAGAAAATTGTCAAAAAAAGAAAAGACTTGTGTTAATGAAGCCTGTGCAACAATTATTGACATTCCTTTATCTTGTTCTTAGTCCGAAGTAGGCCTAATTGAGCGGTTCACCAAAACTCATCAATAAAAAATTTATACCACTTTTCCTCTAAATGTCTCCATTATGCTGCACCTAACAAAAAAAAATAATATAATTTTTCACAAGCGTTTATTGAAGATAATAATAAGGTATAAAAGTTGTAATTGCACCATTCCAGCCCAATAAAATATTTTGTTTTGTAATATACAGTTGTAACAACTAAACTAAAATAATATGTATTATTAATTTCAGTCTTTTTCGAGGTAGATCATACAATTTCATTAAGTATTAATTATCGTATGTTAATAAAGGTAGCGCAGAACATATTTACCTATATAGCCCATTGCTTATGATTCATGAATATAATGAAAAAAATGTGAAATTAAAATTTACATACTAACGTTGTCTAGACTTTTCTCGCTAGGAGTATATCCTTGGTAATTATTGTACCCCGCCCCATACAAGCCATATCCGCCATTCGTATAGCCCAAGCTATATTTAGGTACCACCAGCGACTTGATTAGAGGAAAAGATGGTTGCGGCATAACATTTGCTGGTTGTAAGTCCTTTGGGTAATAAGCGAACCGGTTAAAATTCCAAAGTTTACTTTGCGGATTCAATTCATGATCTATATCGTCGTAATGGACCGGCACGACAAACTTCAATTGGTGCTGTAAAATAAATTTCTCAGTCGATTAGGTACTTGGGTACTTAAAAAAATTTTTTTCGTGTTATTTAATAGTTTATACCTCGAGCTGTACTTCATCGGTGCTGGTAATACTTTCGGATACTGGCGAAGTACTTGGCGTACTAGCGGCTGTTGTACTAGTCGGAGAACTGCTAGACGCTGAATTTATAATTGTCGAAGGAGTTCTTGGCTGCTCAGTAGTCGTTTCATCTTCGGAAGAACTTCCAAATAAATTTCCAAATGGTACCAGGTACCAACTTGATTTTGACGTAGTGGTACTGGTGGTGCTTCGTTCTGTCGCCGTTTCATGTGAAGGCTTATGCGCGACAAACGACGGAAATTCGTAGGGCGCCGGTTCCGGTTGGATTGGTGTCCCTGTTTCTTGGACTAAAAAATGGCAGTGTTTTTTAAAATGCCCATTGACAATAATATATTGCGTTGCTTACCTGGTACGTCAAATGCTGCCGTGGGCAACGCTTTGTGCCAGTGATACAAAATCCGTCCGTCTGTCAAAATAGTTTTTTGTAAAATAACAGGTTCCAATCTGGTGTATTTTATTTTGATTTTTGGTGGAGTGGCAGCCATACCGTCCGCTGTAGTGCTTATGGTGGGAGGAGTGGTCGGACTTGACCGTGTGACGGGTTGCAATTTTGGGGTCGAATGAACCTCCGGGTACGGTTTTTCCGTGCTTCTCTGGTATTTATAGTTGGCGAAGGCGTTGAAATCTGAAGCTTTAATTGTTATTAATAAATACCATAAGGTTGGTTAGAGACAGAGTAAGAAACATAGATGTCAGAGAGCAGTGCGGGATATAAGATATTATGAGATGGGGAAGACAACGTAAGAGGCAGTGGTACAATCATGTAAGAAAAAGATGCAGAGGCAGCTTCAGAATTAACAGATCGACAGATCTCCAAGAAGTAGAAGAAGAGAAGGAGACCATAAGTTTTCAGAATTGAAACTTGTGACACGCATGAATTTGTTAAGGCCCTTCTTCCCCTTTAACGTGTAACGTAGTTGATAACAGGTAATTTCAACTCACCGTGAACTCCGTTTTTCATACCTATGGGTTGTACAGTAACATAAAATCCATTCGTTTTCTGAATAAACGTTGGTTTGTTTCTAATGTAAACAGGTCTTAAGGTAGTCGACCCAATAATTCTTCCAGGCGCGGTCTCACTGTTATACGGAATTATGGAATCGCTTTCCTTTGTAGGTTCAAACAACTTCGAGAAATGCTGACATCTTTGCTTAAGCTCATCCAAAGTCATAACATTGTCTTTCGATTCCTCGTAATTTGGGAGACTTTTCGAATAGGCGTTTCTCGTTTGTTCTATTTTCTCTTCGACCGCTTTAATCTGATGGACAGTTTCCGTCTGATGCGTTGTCGTTTCTAGGGACTCGTATTGTAGACTCGAAGGTCGAAATTTTGGTCTGTATACGAAAGTAGTTTTGTTCTGCGGGGTAGGAATAGGATTCGACAGTATCTGCCGAAGAAGGATGCTTAGCACACCCTAAAAAATATCTGATTAAAATGCAATTAAAATTAGCAGTCGCTTCTAATGTCACGCAAAAATCTGCATTAGCTCGGAAAAAGGTTTTTTTTTTGTTTCCTTACGGACTTTTAGATTTTAAAGAATCCTTATTTAATCTGTTACGTTCACATTCGACCTTAAGCCGTATAATTGTATTCCCGTATTCTCAAAATCATATTTTGCTGTAAGTCAATAAAATCATTTAACGTAAATCGTTTTAGTTGAAGTACCAATTTCAAAACCATAAAAAAGTGGAAATTCCAAATTTATTTTTTAAATTTCAACTACATCTATCAATTGGTAACTTAGCCAGCCATTTTAGGTGATTGTTGAACCAAGTTTCGCCAATTCAATTAAGTGTCAATAATTTAAAGATAATAACATTATTTTAGAAAATTCATCACTAAGAAAATATGGTTTTTTCATTGCTGCTGCTTAAGTTCTCAATTTGGTTTGAATAGCAGTCTCTTTTATATCAGATTTGTTTTTTGCATTGCTTGACTCTCTGTACCTTTGATAAATAGCAAGTTATGTTCGTAGCGAGATTTGTTCACATGTGTAACAAAAAAAATGGAAAAATACAAAAAATATATACATACATATATACAGCATACGAGTAATCATGTAAAACTATTTAAAAAACAACAAAATGGATTTTTTTTCTTTTACTATTACATTTCATTGTTTCGAGGAGTTTGAAATTTAGTTATTTAATTTTAATACCGTTAGATTTAAATTTCCGTCTTAGAAAAAAATGTGTCCATAAAAGTTATATGAAACACGTTAAATTCCAAATTTTTGTTAACTTACCAGGCACAGCGCGACACTAACATACATAATTGTCAACTTTCAATGCCACATAATACGAATTTATGCAATTTCGAAAGAAAAAAAATCTATCGCGGCCCTTTAAACCCGTGAGCGCCTGACGCGAAAGGCATTCCACTCTATAGTGTCGACTATTGTATCGTACCTGCAGTCTGTATCTAAGGTGCATGCACCTTGCACAACGCGTTTCAAACAAAAATCACAGTCTGTAACTCCCTTCGTTGGGTTTTTTAACCCCGGGCCGTGAAGCGGCCCTATCGGAATAGACCGGCGCCTACAATAAAGAACGCTCGGCCGGAAAACGGCTCGGATGTTGAGCAGACCAAACTCGCAACTTGATGCGCAAAAGTTAATTGTAACTATAATTGTAGCTTCAAAAGAAAACATTTTTTCTACTCCCTTCTGTAAAATATAATAAATATAAGATGCGTGAGCGCTTCCGACTTATCCGAGCCACTTCGGACATTTATTGGGAACAATCGGGTGTTTTCGGGGATATTACCGCACGGCTTGAATTTTGACATTTGTTAATTCTGGCGGTCATGTCAGTGAATGTATGCCTGTTGTTTTGCTTAAATGCACCAAAAATTAACGGTCGTAGAAAAAGTATAGTATGCAACACGTTCGGTAAACTTTTTAAGTCTCTCGTTTATTAAACACTTGTGACTCAAATGCCATTTATCACACTTGTTGCATAATATACCATTTAATGATAATAATAAAACATCTGTATCTTTTGTCATTTCTTTGATAAAATTTAGGTGTAATATTTTTTGCTGTATTTCTTGTTTTCTATTCGAACAAGTTATTATAAGCTTCTATAATTGCAAGAAAAAATGTCCTTCATTTCGAAATTAAATGGGCCTTTGCGACAAGTGAGCTTGATCCTTTATCCTTTTGTCGGCAGCCTCCGCTCATTTCGTTCTGATGTATTCCGTTTGAGTACTTCCACTTAATTCTGTTTATTGTTATTGTTATATTTTGTTCTTGTTTGATTCTAGCTGTTATACTGCTGTCCTTCTCTCTACCTGCCTTTAATGAATGTAAAAGTTTTGTAAATTGGTAAACCGTAGATAAATACTTTTTATAAAACTTCTGGATTCCTCCTGCGTCGGTTTTTGTTGACTCGAACTAGCTAACATTTCGCCAATCATCCTGTTGGCTTCTTCAGAGCTTGACTGAAACTGGTTCGTATTTCACAAGGTAGATAAATAAATGAAATTAAATTAAAAAGATGAAGCCAAATTTAGAAGGCTGTTTGTTTACTGAATTTGGGAATAATTCAATTGTCCTCATACCATATCACAAAATTATAAGATTGAAGTCTCCACGCTATCTTTTCAAAAAAATCAGCTTTTGCACGGACGTTCACAATTTAAATTTAAGATTTAAAAGTCTACTCACCCTTCCACGTCACACCTCTGGAATTTTTTAATGATCCTTTACATATGACATGGCTAAAACATATATTGCATTGGATCAGTCTGTTAAATTGCTAAACAATACCTTTTCCACACACCTATCTACTGTAAACTATTTCCAAAGTGTAAGTCCCTCTATTTGCACAGATCGTACTAGGTATTTATTTTATTTTTTTATGTGTATTTTTCCTGCCTAGCGCTGCTACCTAGGTTTAAAAACGGAAGCTCAAAATATCTTATTTTGTTCATCTGAACCGTGTCCTTTTCATTGTATATTAATACGTGAATAAAATTATTATTATTATTATTATTATTATTATTATTATTATTATTATATAGATTTATATCTTTTATTAATTATTAGGGGAAATATTCTCTTTGGATTACATCAAACAGTGTAAAGTCCTCTGTTTTAATCTCCGTGTGACGACATACTATCAAGGAACATCAAATTAAGCTTGCACGAGGTTCTCATCAAACATTCATTAAACGGTGCCAATATTTGGGCGTACTGTTTACGCGAGATTCAAAAGTGAAATATTTTTTTAAGAGCTTGTTTTTAATTCAATGAATAATATAATAATATATTATTTTTATGTACCGTTTAAATTGTCCTTTTGAGTGCCTTTATATTGTTATCTGTAACATTTACACCTGTAATATTTTAGAGGTTGGACCGCATTAATTTTTATTTTAAATTTTAAACTACATGCTTAAGCAATAGAGCACAAAACGGAAAGAAGCTAGTACCATTTTCCAAATTGTTTTTGCCCTTTATTTTTGTTTACACATTTTATTCTCTGCGAATCAGAAAAATTTTTTTCTTGATGGTTTTTTTTGGGAATAGGTATTTCCGGTCTCGTATGATCATTAGTGGGCCTCGTGTTGATAGTATGTACTATGCTCCCCGCACCGTTGCCCACCTTCAGCATTAGACGAACCTTTTACCTTTGGAAACCAATTTAAAACGACCCATAAGCAGCGACGATGACTTCTATTTACAAATACAGTAGCGCACTGCCATTTGTTCTCTTTGTTTTCAAATATTTGTGGAATACTTTTATACTCGCTTAAAGTAAAGTATTAATAAAATGTTCTCTTTGTTTTCAAATATTTGTGGAATAGTTTTATACTCGCTTAAAGTAAAGTATTAATGAAATGTTAATTTGGTGGTCTTTAATGGCTATAAAAATAATTTTATCTTGTCCATCGGAGAGTTATAGTTATTACTAAATGTGGTTTCAAATTTGCCTCCACCACTGGGCTCCCCGGACTCTTAATTCCTCAGTTAAATAATTCCTAAACAGAACTATTGTAACAGGTTTCTCACACATGCTATACAAATTTATGTACCTATTAGCTTTTTTTATATTAAAGGCGATTAGGTTGCTCATGACATTAGAAGTTAGGCTTTTATTGATACGGCTACATTCTACTTAAGCATCTAATGGTTCAAGTTCTTTAAACTTAAAGGAATTTGTGGGGAATACCTAACATTTTCTGATTTATGTACATGGGTTTTAGGGTCCATGCGTTACCTAAATACACATTTTACAATTCGCTTTTGTCGATAACATCTTAAGATCCATCCACAACTTACACGCGTTGGTGCCTTTTCCGAAAATTTATTCTTAGCCGTATGAATTTATTATTTATTATTATATACAGGGTGTTTAGAGCTTCGTTTATAAAATGAAACGAAAATACAGGCTATTGCAATATATGGTTATTGGGCGGAGATCTGGATGATTTTTAGGATCGATAGGTGCCATGCAATCTAAGATTTGATTTTGAAGACATAAATATAACAGATAAAAATCGTCGGAACAGTGAAAATGGTAAAAAATGTGATTGGGTCCCACCGAGAAGTCTACTAATGACCTAGACATGCTATAGATTGAATATCTGACGTAAGAGTATACATTTCTCAATTTAATAAGTACCAATTGTATTAAATATGTTTAAAGAATTTTGAATTATTACACACTATGCTATAAAAATTATTTATTTATCATTGGGACAAGCGTATTCTAGCGATAAACACCCACTAATAATCTTATAACACTCTAATTAACGAATCTAATTTGCAATGACATAGCAGCAAAAAAAAAAAGAAACACAATTATTAATTATAATTACTTAGAGAACATTAAACAATATATGTATTTAATTGTTGAACAATACGGCCATAAGATAAGCCCCAAGACATCTTTAGAATGGGGATTTGCAAATTTTATAATACGAAATAAAAATGAGTAAAAACCATAATTTAAGCTATAAAACGGTAATACTAAATAGATTAAAAGATTTAGTATTGCAAGGTGAAGTAAATAGATAATCTGTTCGAATAGTTGTATACTTTTAAATTTTACATTTAAAAAATTGAAAAGTGGATAAAGATCATTTAGAACTTGTTTATAGTTTATCTGTGGTCTTTTTTGCATTCTAGTTTTACTAGTTTACTAGTTTTTACTAATCTATATGGCACAAAAAACAAACAAAAGCTACCAATCTTTGTAAATCAGAACTACTACGAATTGCAGATGGAAACTGTTACATTTTTCTAGTTATTATTATGAGGAGGTGGGAATTTGCTTTTTTTTGTTGAAAGGAACAAGAAGATGGAACCAATTACAACCACACCACTCCATCCTACATGGACCCTTCAGCTTTTACGCCAAAAATAACCGTCAAGGCCCTCTACGACTACCGCGCCCAGCAACCTGACGAGCTGTCGTTCTGCAAGCACGCAATCATCACAAACGTCACTAAACCACCGAACAGCGTCGGATGGTGGAGGGGCGATTATGGTGGTGCGAAACAGCAGTACTTTCCCGCAGTTTACGTTAAGGAAATCGACATAGTCGAGCCAAGTCAAGAGATCACAGATGACGGGGCAAGTACCTTTAGATTGATTATTATGTGTACCCGTTACGTCATTATTTTCTAAGTATAACAGTAACTCCAATAATCATAGCCACTGCTCCTCTGCTTGATTTGTATCTATTGCGTTATCTTACATAAGCTGTGTAGTTATAAGTGATGTTTCTGCTTTATTCTTTAGAAGCTTTGCGTTTTGGTTGCCCTACATGTCGTGATGTAGAATTTTCCTTGTCCAAATTAGCATATTTCAGTTCCCTAATAAGGGAACTTCTTACAGGAGCATTGATGTGATTTTAAAGACTTCACAGATATGTGCTTTCCATTGGGCACGCGTAAAGCCTATCCATAGAACGGAATTCCAAAAATAATTTAATATCAGATGTAGTTGATACATAATAAACGTTTATTTCCTTTAGATTTAGTTATATCGGACAAAAATTTTCTATATCAGTGGGATGTAAATAACAAGGAAAATATAAAAAAACGATTTATTAAATTTATCAATCAGAACATGTAAAAAATAATCACTTTTCTGATGACGAGGTTCAGTAGTCTTGTTCGCCATCACTATGTATTTAGAATCAATCGCCTTGAGAATTGAAATCATTATTGTAATATCCGATTTGTTCATTTTAATTTGTACTTTGCTTCCAATAACTGTTATTGATTTGTCAAAGCCATGCCGGCAAATTGCACATCGACGTTGACATTTTCGATTGTGAAGCTGTTAGATTTAAACAAATCTAGATCGTTTTACAGGCGACATTTCCGATCTCGGTGTCAATGTCGAGCGGGGCATAAACTGATGCCCGTCGCCACCCTCTGTGGCGTCTCGGCTCACGCGCGCGAATAGACCCGAAGATTTCCCGACGCATCCGAAATCGATAGATCGCGCCAATATTTAAATATTCGAACGTAATCTAACAAAGCTGTAAGCGTGACCTAAGCACTCGATGATCTGATATGAATGGGCAAGGAACGAAATCTGAAATAAGACTGGTATTAAAGTCAATAAATTAGAAATTTTACGATTTATATTGCGCATGGGGAGATGGCCGTTTTGTCCAAATCGTATCGGGGTGTTCGGGGTTTGTTAGGGGCAGCGCGGGAGAGAGACCGGCAAAGCGTTTCCGTGAAGAAAGAATTTTCCTTGATAGCGAATAATTATGATTTGTTTACATTACGATGTTTTTAAAATACATCTGTTGATATTTACAGTGACTCAGCTTAAAAGATTCAGTGGAATTTTAATTAATCAAAGAGGCAAACCTGGTTTCAGTTTCAGCCAAGCTTAAAGATGCCTATTTTAGAAGGTGAAATTGTAAAGTAAAAATCCCTGAGGTGTTAATGAACACCTTCATGTTTAATAGAAGTTGTAAGTTTTTTAGTTTAAACAATTACGTAAATTAACCAAAGTAAAATAATTTAACCGCATTTTATAAATTGATTTGCTATCTGAGCCGTGTTTACACTTGCATTTTATCCTCTATCTTCATTTGGATAAATGTTTCGGCCGCTTTCGGGTGTTCGTCGCCAGTCCCTCGGGTGATTTGGACAAATGAACATTATAGCATTTGTGGTTTTCCCGCGCATGAGGACCCCGAAGATCTTCCGCGAAAACCCGAATGACAACGCATTCGCCAACCCGAACAAACCCGAAGATTCTAAATTTTCCCGCGCCAACCCAAATACACCCGAACATAGCCGAAGATTCAAAATTTTCCCGCGCCAACCCGAACATACCCGAAGTTTCAAAATTTTCCCACCCTAACCCGATCATACCCGCTAAAAGGGGCTTAGAACCGGCACTGCTATACTACTGTCTTATTGTTAAAGTGTCATTGAGTGTAAAGTCTGTTCATAGATATAAGAAAGTGCCTAACTAGTGTAAAGTCTGTTCATAGATATAAGAAAGTGACTAACTGATACGAATTAAGGAAAGACCCGGGCAAGCTATAAGAATGAAATATGGCCGAACAGGTCCGTACTTCGCTTAGAATTTAATTATTTGGGGTTTTGTTAGGAAAGGTACTAAACAATATTTATTTATTTATGTATGTATTTATGTTTAAATCTAATATACAATTACAAATTATTTTTAATTACCTACTTAAATTACTTAAAATTATTCACATAATATATCAGTACCACTATCGCTATCATCGCCTGTTCTAATTATTATTTGTCCTATATTATTTGCAATATGGATATACGATTGTTCTGCTTTTTCTATATGTTTATCAGAATTTGCTCAACTTTGTGGAGGGATGTTAAAAACTTCGGTTTCTATAAGTTCGAAGACATTGGAGTTAACACGGGTAAAAACATTGTTACGACGAATGGCAGATTTCAGTTGGTGCCAAACATGTTCAATGGGATTAAATATACAGTGGTAAGGTGGAAGCCTTAAAACTGTATACCCTAGATTTTTTGCATGTGTTGAATTCACTTCCATAAGTTAGTTAACTCACAAGCTTCATACAAATGCCTCGGATGATAGGACTGGATTATCTGCTGAACGACCCCGGCAAGTTAAAGGTAAACGAGTAGGTATAATTGATAAGCTAATATTAGGAACTTGGAATATGAGAGGCTTAGGAAATAAAGAACAAGAACTAAACAGAGTACTTAAAGAACGCAAAGCAAACATAATAGTCATAACTGAAACAAAAAAGAAATTAAAAGGAACTAAAGAAATAGACGATTACACAATGATTTACAGTGGAGTGGAACAAAATAAACGAGCCTGCTGTGGAGTCGGTATATTAATCGACCATAAATGGAAAACAAAAATCACTAGCTATACTTTTATAAATGAAAGAATCGTATCAGTGAGACTAAAATACGAAAGAGGCCATCTGACTATTATTGGTGTTTATGCTCCAGAAGAAGGGAAAAAAGAAGATACTGAATACTTTTACGAAACTTTACAAAGCCTAGTGAACAGATGTAATAAGAACGACGCTATCATTATAGCAGGAGACCTAAATGCAAGGGTAGGCAATATACCTATCACAGGAATTTTGGGTCCCTTCGGAGAGCCATGTCTAAATACAAATGGACAAGAACTGATACAGTTTGCTTCTTACAATCAGTTACGTATTACAAACTCATTTTTCAGACATAAGGAAATCCATAAATACACCTGGAGTGCTAGAGGCCAAAAATCGATAATCGACTATATCATTGTAAATGATAAAATTACCTCACTGATAGAAGATGTTAGGGTATACCGAGGCAGCGATGTCCATTCAGACCACTACTTGCTAATATCCACAATTAATATGCCTGCAAAATGGAAAAACACAAGTAAGAAACCCACAAACGAACTGGTATTCAAAGTATATCTGTTGAACGAGAACAGTGTTAGAGACCTTTATATAAGACGCCTGAACCAATATTTATCACAAACACTTAAAAGCGATAACTCCGACAAAGAATGGGAAAACATAAAGAGATGCATAGAAAGAGCAGCTTTTGAAAGTCTAGGAAAGAAGAAGAAGTTCAGAAATAAACATGGGCTAAGAATATGGAACAAAGAAATCGAAGAAGCCATTAAGAAAAAGAAAGTTTCATATTTGAAATATCTACAAACAAAAACAGATGAGAGTAAAGGGCAATATAACCTAGCTCGTAACACTGTCAACAGATTAAGGAAACAAATACAACAACAGTCTTGGGATAAATTCATCAGCAACGTGGAAAACGATATGCATGGACAACAAGCATTTGCTTATAAGGTAATTAGACAACTCAATAAAACTACAAAAGATCAGGCAAGCTTAAATATAATTGACGAACAAGAATGGACTAAACATTACGAATCTCTATGGTACAACCCAGATGCAGTAACATCAGAAGAAACAGAAAACGACGATATTTATGTGGGCGATAGAATAGACATCGACGAACTTCATGAGGTAATGAAAAAGATGAAAAATAGAAAGGCGGCGGGTCCAGACAACATCAACATGGAACTCTTGAAATATGGAGGACCGATATTAAATCTAAGATTATTGCACCTGTTTAATGAATGCTGGCGAGAGTGCCAAATACCTAAAGAATGGCAAGACACCCAAGTCATATCAATATTCAAAAAAGGGAAGAGAAACGATTGCAACAACTACCGAGGTATAAGTCTCATGAACTCTATATATAAAATATACTCTAAAATTATCAACAACAGAATAAAAGCAATCTCAGACGCCATTCTATTAGAAGATCAAAATGGGTTTAGGAAAGGAAGATCTTGCACTGACAATGTCTTTACTGTGAGACAAATCATAGAAAAACACCGCGAATACAATATTCAAACACACATCGCCTTCATAGATTTTGAAAAGGCATTTGACAGGGTGGACAGGAATCTCCTGTGGAAAATTATGCGCCTCCGAGGATACCCCATACATCTGGTGCGAACAATAAAAACCTTGTACGAAAACACCCAAATAACTCTAAAATTAAACAGTGGCGAATCCAAACCCATAAAGACAAACCAAGGCTTAAAACAAGGATGCAGTCTGTCACCTTCTCTTTTTAATATCTACATTGACCATATCTTGAGAGAATGGAAAAGACAAACAAAGAAGGGAATTAAGATCGACCAGAACGACTATATGAATTCCCTTCTATTCGCAGACGACCTCATACTGATACAAAACAATGAAAATGATCTCCAAAGCTCTATACATAAACTGAATCTACTGTGTAAGGAATACAATATGACAATTTCGAAGGAAAAGACGAAAGTTATGGCCTTTGAAGGTATGTACTCTGTAAGAACAAAGATTGTTCTAGACAATCAACCATTGGAACAGGTGTCTCAGTTCCAGTACCTTGGTTGCGAAGTAGGATATGACAGAGATAATGATATCTCTCAAAAACTACGTAAATTTGAATATATATGTGGAACAATCCAAAGAACATTAAAGAATAAAACAAGGAAAGACACCAGAATAAAATTCTACAAAACTATGGCAACTCCAGTACTCCTATACGGTTGCGAAAGCTGGGTACCAACAAAAGCAGAATATAGCAGAATACAAGCGGCCGAAATGAAATTTTTAAGAGGGGTGAAAGGTTGCACACGACTAGATAGATTTAGAAATGAAGATATCAGAAACGAATTACAAATATTTGCAATGACAGATAAAATAAAAGAATATAGACGCAACTGGAAACAACATGTAGATAGAATGCCTGATGACAGAATCCCGAAAATAATAACAAACTACCAGCCAATAGGCAGAAGAAGTGTAGGTCGACCCCGCCGACGCTGGAGGGATGTATGAAGCCGGAACAGACTATAAGTCTAAACCGTGAAGAGTAGAAGAAGAAGAAGAAGTTAGTTCTGCCATATTTAACACCGGTTTCGCCTTTTTCAAGCCTCGTAATTAAGATATCTAATGTAGGCACGCTTTGTTCCTCGTATAACTGGTAAATTTTACGCCGTATTATATCTTGAGAGTCAAATAAAAATTTTAATTATTATTATTTCATCTACACTCGAGAAAATGTCAGCATCGCTTCTTTTTTTGTTCACTGGGATTATTCACAATTTTCCATACAGTTTATGTTGGAATTTTCGTCAATGTGGCCGTTTCTTCTTCTTCTTTGTTGCTGGCACCACGTTCAATGAGAGTCAAATAAACATTGTTTATAACTTCCTTAGTCTCAGTAGAATAGAGTTTTCTACATTTGGGCGGGAGTATCTCCTGAGATACACTAGACTCGCACATATTTTGCATAATTCGCACACGATTCAACACACGCTGTATTACACACGAAATAAGAATGATTACTAATAAACTTAAATTAAGTAGTATACCAAACCAAGAAATATTAAACACAGGTAGGTATAACATTGTTTTCCATTACGGACCACAATTTTACCTGAATTTAAATTCCGAAACTTTAGGTAATAATCTTGTTAAATTGTATGTTAGTGACCACCCTTAGATAATCCCATTCAAAAGCAATTGGTCACTTTCTTATATATATGAACAGACCATACCTGGGAATTGTATCTAACCGATATGCTTTGACTGCTTTGTTTTCGCCATGTTTGGAAATTGCGATAATTAGACTTAGATTTTTGTTTTTTTCAGTCAAATGAATCGATGATGCAAGGTTATCTAGACATGCACGGTGCTGTAGTTGACTTGCTGCATATTCCAGAAAGACCGGGGCTCGAATGGGCCCTGAAAATAGTAACGTCGACAGCCGTAACGGCTTTCGAAGTTTCACTACAGTCTCGAGATTTGGTACAGTTTTGGGAAGCTACATGTGGCATTACTGCATTCTAATCGTTTTTTTCTTCGTTAGGCTTTAGAATGGTTGACCGCTATTAGGGAAGTGACGCAAAGAGCCAGTCAGATCGAAACCCAACATCGGGAGATGGAACGAGCGTACCGAATTGCAAAGGAACTGTCCAACATTATAATCTATTGCAGGTCGATTTCGTTTAATTTGGAAAGGGCGAGACAGGGGTTCGTTTTTTACGAAATGTCCTCCTTCCCGGAAACGAAAGCCGAAAAACTTATATGTCAACAAGAGAGGAGTTTCTTCCTAAAATACCATCAGGTCCAGTTTACGCGTATCTACCCGAACGGTTTACGAATCGACTCGTCCAATTACAATCCGATCAACGTGTGGAATTGCGGTTCCCAAATGGTCGCCCTTAATTATCAAACGGGCGATAAACCCATGCAGTTGAATCAGGCCAAGTTCCGGGATAACGGCGCGTGCGGTTATCTCCTGAAACCGGAGTTTATGTTCGCCAAAGAGTTCGATCCGTTCGAAAGGCACACGTTAAACGGCGTACAACCGTTGGCGGTTCGTATTAGGATAATCGCCGGCAGACATTTGAGCAGATCTAAAAAAGGTATAGCCAGTCCGTACGTAGAAATCGAACTGTTGGGCGCGCCGTTCGATTCCGGAGTGAAACACACTACCAAAAAAATTTTGGACAACGGATTCAATCCGAAATGGGTCGACGAATACTGCGAATTCACGGTGGCCAATCCGCATTTCGCCCTCCTCCGATTCGTAGTGCAAGACGAAGATGTTTTCGGAGAGCCGAATTTTATCGGCCAAGCTACCTACCCTGTAAGTAACAATTTTTTAAAATATAACAATGTACGAGGTTAGCGCCAAAATTTCCCGGCCTGACATAGATGCAGCTCCAGTATGTATCACGATAAAACTTTGTCTTCTTTTAAATATATATCTTAGTAGGCGGCGAAAAAAAAATTGTCGTAAGTAACGTAAATTGAGTATAGAGCAATCATAAAGTTTTTGACAAAAGAAGGGTTAGCACCTAAAATTATTACTGGATGGTGTGTACGGCCAAACTTCTCCTTCGTATTCTGTAGTGAAAGAATGGGCAAAACGTTTTCGAATGGGGTAGGAGTCCCTTGAAGATGATTAAAGACCAGTGGAGGTCATAACGGAAGATATTGTTGCGATTGTGGAAGAGGTGGTGTTGAGTCATCGATGTTTAAAGGTCAAGGAAATCTCAGAAATTACTATGCTTTCTGATACAAGTGTTCGTCGAATTTAGGTATGCATAACGTAAAGTGGAAGATGGGTTCCTAAAAACCTTTCGGCTATCCAAAAACAACGCCGCATCGAGTGTGCGCGGTCTTTTTTGGAACTCTGTGGCTTGGTACCGAAACCTGTGATAGAAACTATTGTCACGGGAGATGAAACTATGGTTCTCTATTATGACTCTCTATCGAAAAAAGAATCAATGGAGTTGCTTCGCAAGGGTGAAGCACCTCCAAGAAAATTCAGAGTCTGCCAGTCAACAAAAATGGTGATGGCCCCGATCTTTTGGGATTGTGAAGGAATTCTTTTGATGTAATAAGTGTATTGAAGTTAAGGGGGATTATATTGAAAAATAATAAAAAATTGTTACTCTACTTTGTTTCTTTCATATTCAGGCCGGGAAATTTTGGCGCTGCCCTCGTATATTTGGTTGATGGTATGGTATTTAAATTTAAATTATCCATAAAATCAGCAATTAGGATCTTTTAAAATAATATATACAGGATGTTGAAAGGCAAAAATACTCGTTATAACTGTTGTAGCCTAGTATTCTAAAAACCACCACCACCACCGGTTGTTTTTTGTTTTGACAGTAGTAAAAAAATCGATTGAAGCATGAAGTACAGTTCGCGTGTTAGTATATTGTAGCACTGGGTGTTTATTTGGTATTTTGACATTTTGAAAATTGTTATTAAGACTATAAGCGATTAGATGACCAACGGCAGCTGTTTTTGCTGAAATAAGTTAATAACATCCAAATAAAATTAAAGCATCATGGTCCCTTGTTTTCATAAATTACCTCCAATGGCAATCGCGTGCTATTGACCAAAAAATTAGTTCCGATTTGAACACTGAACACTATGCAAGATAAAACATTGGGCATTACAAAATGTTCTCACTTTTAACAAAATCTCTATAACATGATTTTCAGAAAAGGAAAGCCTACAGTTCAGAAACAGTGCGGTGCCTGTGAAGAGCTCCTTATTTAAGACGAAATTTATTTGTTGTGTCATTGTTTGTCACTACCATGTGACACTAAAAATTACAGTTATGTTCATTAATTTGGAAACCCTTACATAACAATCATAATATGACTTTATGGTAAATACATGACAAGAAGATGTAAAAAAAGGCGAAGTTGAAGTTTTACTTCCTCCATTAACTACAATTACTTAATTATTTGATATTATAGGACAAAATTATTCAGTGACAATTAAGCCCGTGGAATATACAAGCTAAAAAGCAAAACAATACAAAAAAAGTAAAAAGAAAGACATGAAGCTCATATCAAATATGTACTTATTATTATTTACATCAATTTATTAATATATTTTTAAAAAAAAGGTAGGCCGGTATGTACTCAGAGCAATTCATATGTAGCGATTTCAGTTAACTACCCAGCCATATACGACAAATCTTTTTGAATGTTGTAGGAGGTAAAATTTTAAGACATTTTGTTTGCCTTTTACTGCTATTATTCTGTTTAAAACCAAAACAAAATATACAACCGACAGTCAACGTAGCTTTTAGACGAAAACAATGGCAATAACTCACTCATTTGACTTTCTTTTGTAATTTTTTGTGAAACTACGCGTAAGTCGTTTATAGTGGTACAAGTATTACTGAACTATATTTTATAATACGTAAATTTAATTTTCAGATTACCTGTATCAGAAAAGGATACCGTAGCGTTTGGTTGAAGAATGCATTCAGCGAAGATCTCGAATTAGCCTCTCTATTAATTCATGTCTCGCTAAAAAGTCCTGTATCTCGTATTTAATTTTGAAATAATTTTTAACTAGGAAATGACTTGAATAACTGGCAAATTTCTTGTCCAGCTGTCCTGGTATTCAACCAGGTGGTCGCTATCAACCTGTTGCAAATGTCATTGTATTATTTATTTGATGAATATAGCACGAAGAAGACATATTTTTATACATGATTATATAATGAAAGAAGACTAAACAAATATCTATTTTGTGCAATTTTATTATTTTCAAAGATAGTTTCTACACAGTCTTAGTTTTTATAATGAGCAGCGTCGTATGACGATAATTAAAAACGTTAAGAGCAAAGCTTTTATGAAATTTTAAGCCCAGAACATTAAAATTATAATGAGGATATATTGAGAGAAAGGCAGTATGATTTCATTTGATATTTAGTTTATGAGAAATTGTTACCTACACTTAAATCATATAACAATTAATTTTGGAACACTAAAGTTATAAACAGCTCATCATCTTCCTTAGTAAAAACAGACGGTGCTATATATTTATATAAAAGCCTGCATGACCTCTGTATGATGACGGTGATGACACCCTGGTCTATTAATTTAACTAACCATGTCGATCTCCACTTCCCGCAGCCTAAGAGGTAGAGGTGTGTTTAGATATAGGTAGGTACAGGATAAGATTTAGTACCAATGCCTCAGAAAGTTAGACTTGAGTATGTGACATCCCTACGACTTTACACCACTTGTAGATGAAACATTAATAAGACAGGTAATTTTTTTTGGCTCTTTCATAACGTTTGGTGAGGACATATTCAAAAATTCAGCTTTTTATGAATTCAAGTAAAAACAGTAATATTTTATTTTATTGTAAATACTATCTTTGAAAAAAGACATTAACTCCGAAAATATTTTTCAATTGACAGATCGGATGTATAGCACCAAATTTTCATAGACTCTCGTTCAATGATGTACAAGCGAGGATACGATACCTATAAAAAGTTGGGTTTAGATATAAATATCACAATGTTGCATGTCAATATTATCACCGATTGTGTGTGGTGATTGTCTTTTTACTTGTTCTGAAATATTTTCTGTTTCACACTTCACCTAATTGTCAATTGTGTATAAGAAAAAAATCATAATAAATGTTGTCATAATTGTAGATGTTTAATATTTGTTTTTTAATTACAGTTTCTAATAAAGCTCGATTTATATTGAATTTTTAGAAAATTTCCACAGAGTTTATTTATCCTTTTCCACATCAGGATCCCTTTGTGTTCCAAGCATAATAAACAAATCGGCTGGTCTTCTAAAATATTGTTCTAACAGAATAATTTTTTGTTGGTCCTTTATCTCGTACTGATACTCTGTCCAAGGTAGTTTCATAAAATTGTTAGAAGCTTGCTTCACATCTCCAACTTGAAATTGCAACCGTCTCATTGTAAATGGTAAATTTCCATAAAATATGCTCAAGTATTTTTGGGATTTGGGACAACAGTAAACTCTCACTGGTACTTGCGATACAAGCAGTTGCAGTATCACATAAATGACAATGAAGACTGAAATGTAAACAACAATTTCTTTTGCTGTCTGTTTGTGTGCAACTTTTAGCTGGTCATTTGGGTTAAACTGAAGCTTTTGGGCTTGATCTAAATCCAACATAGTTACTACCCCAACTACTAAAATAGTCACACCATTTACTAACTGGCATAAAAAAATGTAACGGTCTGCAATATTTCTGTAAATCAGCTCATAACCATCGGGAACCTTGTCTTTTAATCTAAGCTGGTTTTTGCTTGGTTTTCTGAACAAATTGAAGAAATTCCTTTTAATAACCGGCAAATTCTTCAGGTTGGATAAGCAATTTAACCTCTGTATGCTATGATATTTGCAATTAGAATTTACTTCATTAATTATTCGAAACAACAAGTTGCTGCGTCCCACGGGAAACATTTTTACGGTTTGTTACTATGTTATATACACTTTATAGGTGTTTACAATTCATTACATAACCTTTAACTTTCTATTCTGTGAGTTCTGCGGTTTTTCTTTGGTTAATGATAAGAAATATTTTTTCATATTATTATGATATACATATGTACTTTAAATTAAAAGAATAACCAGGGAATAACCAAATTTGTTGGTAAGGCGTTAGACCTTAGCCTGCCAACTCTACTTGCCAAAGCCACAACCTTTCGATTGCCACCGGGAACCTTGGGTGTTGCAATCGTTATAAATTTGTTTATAAGTGCCTTATGAAGCAGTGGCCAAATAAAGCGTAATTAAGAAAAAAACAAATTTTTGATTGTGCTGCACCCTCCGTATTTTCACGTTATAAAAAATTTACTAAATATGGTCTATTCTTACATACTCTAAACGATTTCGTGTGAGCTTGTTACCAAATAGAATCAAAACTTTCAGCTGACGTAGCCGTGACGTCGTAAATAACATAGCTCATGAAAATAAAAAAATGATAAACAACCTTTTTAATAAAAGCATAATTAAAAAAAAACTTAACAAACGTTTTGGTTAGAGCTCTGTTTTGAGTAGCATAAATTTGTCCGGTTTAATTAGTGCTACCAATGAATCGTGTCGATTGGGATTGAAGTACAGGTGTTAAGTGTGAAATGGTAATTAAACATGTTAAGCGTTATTTAAGTTGTTAGTTTTATTTAGTCACACTCGTCACTTGCACTTTTCGACACTAGTTATTAATCAAGGTGTAAATCGACCATTACCAAATATATTGTATTACTTGTTCAATTATTTATTTTTTGTATAATAACCTAAATTTAGATATCGCCTAGCTTTAGGTGGTCCCTAAAAATGTATCAGCTTTGCTAAACTAGCAAATAAAGAGTATCTTTTTGAGATATGGTACTTTACATTTTCTATCACGTGCATGTATTGTATCGATATGATAATTATATTTTTGATTGCTTATACGCACTAAATATAGCCGTAGCAAGTTAAATGTCATCGCCAATTAGATAAAAAAGAAAAGTATTTTTTATTTTTTAAAATTGCATATCTGTAAGTTTTCCTATATTTAAGTTGACCAAAATTCTTTGCCAGCAGCGTATATCTTTGCATTCTAATACTTTTTTTTATTCAAATGAAGTTAACAGATAATTTCAGGTAATTTATTGCAATTGTACTGGAACCAAGACCTCAATTAATTTGAGCTATATACGTAGATTTTTGAATTTTTATCGTTATTGTTTTTAGGCAATGCAAACTAAAGTTTTTTTGAACTTGTATATCTATCTGAGGCGGATGTCCCATTTTAAATTGACTTAACTTAACTCTTTGTAGTTAAAGTTACTTGTAGAACTAAAAATGCGGACCTGGTTTCTGTGGCGTAAAGTTCCTTCTTCAATGTTTCCAAAATTCCTACGGTTTTTTTCGGGATTAATTCAAATAATAGGAAATTTCGGGCGACCATTAATTAAGTTGGATAACTGTTAGGTTGGTAGCCTTTGCGAAGATATGATTCAGAGTTTCAGAGAAAATTTACAATGCGCTAGCGCACGCTTATGCGCAAACGCTTAATTTTTTTGCTTTGTCGAAGAAGAGTGAGGTGAGTTCGGTAGTTCGTTCATGTATGATTTTTTATCTGGAGAAACCCGTGTTCCGCTAAGAAAAAGACTTATTAAAACGTGTCCTTTTGTGTCCGATGTCTAGTGCTGAAACGGTAGACAGTTCCGTCGTTCCTCCGAATAAGAAACGGAAGCTAGACTCGCACGCTAAAGCCCCCGAAATGGCGAACAATGGATTGGCTTCTAGTTCCGCACAAGCCGGTGACATTGATGAGGGGCTATATTCGAGACAGCTTTACGTTTTGGGACATGATGCTATGCGTAGAATGGCTACCAGTGATGTTCTAATTTCTGGTCTAGGTGGTTTAGGGGTTGAAGTTGCCAAGAATGTAATTTTGGGTATGTAACCTGATTACATTTGTTTGAGAAACCAAATTTATTTTTAATGGACAACCATTATTTTGCCTTAAAATTGAAATAGTTACACTTCAATAATAACAAATATTTTATTTTGAATTATTGCTATATACAACACTATCTGATTCTGACTATTTGAGCATACCTATTTGTAATACTTAATATTTCTTGGATTTTTAAGTTTTAAGACTGCTTTTAAAAACTCTAAGAAAAGGGGATTGTTAAAATTTATGACAATTTACCGTAAAGCAATTGTTGAAGACTTTTAGTCTGCAACAAAGTGTTTTAATTACAGGTGGAGTAAAATCGGTTACACTCCATGATGAAAAAGTAACAACAATAACTGATCTTTCATCCCAGTTCTTCCTATCGGAGAATGATATTGGCAGGAATCGAGCAGAAGCTAGCTGCAAGCAGCTTGCAGAATTAAACACCTATGTCCCTACTAGAGCTTACACAGGACCCTTAGAGGAGGACTTCATTAAAAAGTTTCGTGTTGTTGTTTTAACAGCATCTACTCGAGCAGAGCAACTCAGAATTAGTGAAATAACTCACACCAATAATATTGCGCTGGTTATCGCGGATACCAAAGGACTTTTTGGTCAGGTGTTTTGTGATTTTGGAGAAAAGTTTACAGTGGTTGATGTTAATGGAGAACCTACTGTGTCTGCAATGATTGCTGATATTACTAATGATAAGGAGGGTAAGTGACAGATTTTGTTCATAGTTAATTTTGAAAAATTTGTTTATAAGTTTGGATTTGGAGGATGGCTGTATATGTATATACATAAAAATGTTAACAAAATTTTAATCATCTTTCAAGTGTTTCCAAAAATTTTAATGTTGAAAAAAATACAATAGATATTATCCTAGTGGTAGTTTTGAAAAATTTTTAATAAAAATATACATTAATAAAATAAGAGTTTTTGAAATTTTTTTTTTAATACTGTTGTTCTTTGCACTTTAGGAGTGGTGACATGTATAGATGATACAAGACATGGCATGGAAGATGGCGATTATGTCACTTTTTCTGAAGTTCAGGGCATGACCGAGCTTAATGGGTGCTCCCCCTTGAAAATCAAGGTTTTAGGGCCATACACATTTAGTATAGGTGATACCAGCAGTTTTTCGAAATATGAAAGGGGCGGTATTGCTTGCCAGGTCAAAATGCCTAAAGATATACACTTTAAACCACTCAAGGAATCTCTGGCGAATCCAGATTTCCTCCCAACAGTAAGTCTTTTTGTTTTTGGAATGCCACTGATCAATTTTTTATTGTGAATACTTAAGCTAAAAAAGCAGAAGGCAGAATGATATAGGAATTACTATTACCATGAAATCAGTGATTTCACACCATTAATTTGATTTTAGGATTATGGTAAATTTGATTACCCTGCACAGTTGCATCTTGCATTTACTACCTTGCACAGTTTCATTGAAAGATTTGGCCGGATGCCCCAGCCTTGGAATAGTGAAGATGCTGCTGAATTTTTAAACATTGCGGTAACTCATTCAACTGGTGATGGTGAATTAAATACTAGTTTGTTGGAGACATTCTCAAAGGTAATTAAAATTCTGAAAAAGTACGCTAAATATAACAAACTATTCTGGCAGATATGCGGTGGTGACATAAACCCAATAAATGCAACAATTGGTGGTATAGTAGCCCAAGAGGTGATGAAAGCATGCACTGGCAAATTCCATCCCATCATACAGTGGCTTTACTTTGATGCTCTAGAGTGTCTGCCAACTGATAAATCTGATATAACCGAAGAACTAGCTATGCCACTTGGATCACGTTATGATGGACAGATCGCAGTATTTGGTCGAGAGTTTCAAAAAAAATTGGGTAAACTGGTTTTGTCCATTTTGCGTCAGGTTAGTTTTAAATTTGATAGTTTCTTGTAGGAGCTTTGAAGTACTTCATTGTTGGCGCTGGGGCAATCGGTTGCGAATTATTGAAAAACTTTGCCATGATGGGAATTGGGTCTGATGGAGGACAAATTATAGTAACGGACATGGATCTGATTGAGAAATCTAACTTGAACCGGCAGTTTTTATTTAGACCCCATGATGTACAAAAACCGAAGTCTGCCACTGCCGCTAAGGTATTTTGGAAGCATTGTTAGTCATGAAAGTTTTTGAATATTTATTCCCACTGTTAAGGTAAAAATGTTCATAAAAAACTAATATCTGGTGGAGAGAGGCTTCATCATTTTCACTAATGCATTTGGTAATAGATGGGACAGTAACTAAAGGTAGCTTAAACTTACATTTGCTTAATTCATTGAATATATATGTATGTAAACTAAACCAATCCCCTATATTTTGAGAACCCAATATGCATAATTGTTTTTCAAATGTTTTGAAAATGTGCTTATAAGACTACGCAAGTAATTAAAACAGGTGTTAACTTATTTAAGATGAATTAGGAACGAATTGGGCTGAAAACTTTTTTTTTTAATTATATAATAGTTCATAAATATTATATTATAAGTGCTGTTGGAAAGAGAGTATAAAACGAATTCATAGACACAGCGGGCTGTTCAAATTTTTTTAAAAATTGGCACAGAGTGCAAAACAATGCTTACAATCAATGCTCTCAAATTTCTTTCTTAAAATTTCTGAGATTTCAATTATGTGAACTCAAATCAGCTGGAATTTTTAACATTTTAGTCATTCTACCCTCATTTTTTGAAGGCAAGGAAAACGGAAGCATGTCAATGTTTTTAAAGTTTAGGATTGGTTAGGAGCCATTAATAATTGTTCATTTTTCTGGGTTTTGCTTTTCTAGTGATTTTGTTTTATGTCCATTGTTTGTTTTCTTTTTGCAGGCCATCAAAAAAATGAACTCTCAGGTCAACATTTTATCTCACGAAAATCGGGTTGGACCCGAAACAGAAAGCGTATACAATGACGCTTTCTTTGAAAATTTGGACGGCGTCGCGAACGCTTTGGACAATGTGGATGCTCGCATATATATGGACAGGAGGTAGGGTCTCTAACGTTATGTAATTTCCGGTTCATTTAATATTAATATATGCCTAGGTGCGTGTACTACCGCAAACCTCTCTTGGAGTCCGGCACTTTGGGCACTAAAGGTAATACCCAAGTGGTAGTGCCATTTTTGACAGAGTCATACAGTTCTTCTCAAGATCCCCCGGAAAAGAGCATCCCCATATGTACCCTTAAAAACTTCCCCAATGCTATCGAACATACTTTGCAGTGGGCCAGGGACTCCTTTGAAGGTTTATTCAGGTAATTACCCGCCATTAAGAGTTTAATGCTTTGGATATCCTGATTTGGCTCTTGGTACTAGAGGTACTCCAATGAAATCATACCTAAAAAGTACCCTAAACAAAAAAAATTAAGTTCCTATAAGATACTTAATCCTTATGTCTGTCTTAATCTGCATTGTTTTTTTTTTTGACTATTCATAATAAGTTTTTTGTGATACTCTTTTTCTTAGTATGTGATACACATTTTGGTTTTAGTGTTTTTATTTACTTAATATTTCTCAGATTTAAAATGACAACCTTATCATAAAGTTAAAAAGCAAATTACTACCAATTCAGGGAAAGCAATGTCAAATAAATGTTGAAAAAACATTAGTACATAAATGAAAATAAATGATTAAAAATAATAAAATGTAGTGCAATTTAAAGTGCAAAATAAGATTTGAGAATCACAAATTTTCGTTTAGGCAAAGCGCTGAAAATGCGTCCCTGTACCTCACCGATCCCGATTTTATGGATCGCACCCTGAAGTTGCCGGGCGTACAACCGCTGGAGGTCCTAGAGTCTGTCAAAGCCGCGCTCGTAGATGACAGACCAAAATCGTTTGAAGACTGTATAACTTGGGCTCGAAAACATTGGCAGGAACAATACAGCAATCAAATTAAGCAGCTCCTTTTCAATTTCCCGCCGGATCAGTTAACGACCACGGGTCAGCCGTTTTGGTCCGGCCCGAAACGTTGTCCCGTGCCCCTGGAGTTCGACGTCAACGAGCCTCTCCATTTAGACTATGTAGTCGCGGCGGCCAATCTCAAGGCCCAAGTGTACGGGATACCTACCGACAGGAACCGGGTCTACGTTGCGGAAGTGGCGTCGCAGGTCGAGGTGCCGAAATTCGTTCCGAAATCGGGCGTGAAGATCGCCGTTACCGATTCACAAATGGCCGCCAACGGCAACAACGTCGACATGGACCGCGTCGCCCAAATTCGGGCCGAATTACCCTTGCCGAAGGAGTTCTCGAAGCTCAGACTGACGCCGTTGGACTTTGAAAAGGACGACGACTCCAATTTCCACATGGACTTCATCGTGGCCGCTTCTAATCTCAGGGCCGCGAATTACAAGATCCCGCCCGCCGACAGGCACAAATCGAAACTTATTGCCGGTAAGTGGATATGTTTTTTATTTGTTTATTTTACTTTTACTTTTTTTTTTAATAATAATAATTATAAATAAACTCAACTATACTTATGATTCAAAACAAAGCATAATAATTTTTCAAAGAAACTTCAACTGGCTAGTGTAATACTATTCATGAAACTTCTAGATTCCTCCTGCGTCGGTTTTTGTTGAGTCGAACTTGCTGACGTTTCGCCAATCATACTGTTGCTTTCTTCAGAGCTCAACTGACACAGGTTCAGGTAAGCAATCGGATGATGAACAGTTCTAGTTAAGCCCTGAAGAAGAAAAACCGGATGATTGTCGAAACGTTAGCAAGTTCCAGTCAACAACAAGCGACTCAAGAGGAATGCAGAAGTTTCGAAAATAGTGAAGCATAATAATACCATTTAGTTGTACTAAGAAAATAATTCCTTCGTACCAGAGTCTCGATTTGTGACAGTCTTCAATTTTCGAAACAAATGATATTTGGTACATGGGAGTTGAAATAGATTGTTTCCTTAAAGCAGAGTCATTACTACAGTAGGGTATAGCAGCTTGGGGTAGTTCATATAAGAGAGAATGAAAACAACTACAAATGTTACAGAAAGGTTTTCCAAAATCGTTATATCACAATGTCGATCGAGAGATGACAATGAAAACATTTAAAGTAAAAAATATATTACACAAAATAGATAATCAGCATGAAACACATCACAAAAAAGAGGGGAAAGGAAAAACAGTAAAAACGATGGTCAATTGCGCCAAGAATATTTTTAATATTACCGGAAGGAATATCTGCAATCAAGTAATCTTAACAATAGATTTGAAAAACAGAAAATCTAAAATAGTTTAACATTGGCGTATGTATGTGGGATTTTGTACACTCTAATTATTAGAATGTAACCAAGCGCGCGAACAAACTATCTTCATATGGTTTCGATGCAACTCTTCTTTATTTTCGTTTAATAAGTATTTTTGGAGATCAGGTTGTACAATGGAATGTTATTTATGTTATTATATCATTGCTATTAATCTTATTTTTATTGTTATATTGTATATTTTCAAATATAAATTTATGACTTTCGTTCTTAAATCTTAGGTACCAAATATTTAAAATTATTTTCATAAAATTCACTTCTAGGGCTGTACTTGCCCATTCGGTATTGTTCTAGTAGAATACACTGTATCAGTATACAAACTGTATAAACATATCCGCCAGTTTATACTCCCATGGTGGCGCTGGCTTGGAATGTCAATATTTACGTGAACATTACTAAATATTTCCGGGCTTTTGAGCCGTGGTCCGGAGATTAAACTCGACGTTTCGTCTACAACTACGGTAGACATTTTCAAGAGCGGCGATGCGGTAACGGTCGAAGTGTTCTTCCGTACTGCTCTCCGATGACTGGTTGGTTGACTTTAAGATCTGCCGTATTTAAGCGCGCTGTAGTGGGCGTGACCTCGGTGGCGGGCTTGGGTTGAGCCTGTCTGGGTAAACACGTTGTTTTGTTGATGACCTGAGTCCATGTTTTACTGATATTGAGACCTTCTCAAAAGCCCGGAAATATTTAGTAATGTAATTTCTGGCCGTGAAAGCCTAACATCTTTGATAATTTACGTGAACGTTTGATCAGCTCATTCTACCTGCATAAGCATTATTACACACTTGTGCAACATCTTATGATAAAATATGTTTTAATCGTATTTAAAGTGTAATGTGAAAACCGGAGTTTTGTACAAGTCGAAGTATTATTAATAGCAAAACACGTAATTTAGATAACTTAAAGAACAAATGTTTACACCAAAAACTATTATTAGGATAATTGTTGGTCAATATTCCTCGAGTGACATTTATCGACAGAGCGATTTGGTTTGTTTGGATTTGAAACCTGTAAGCATTTTCTTTGTTGAACTTTTGGATGAATCCATACATCCACTGAATCTTGAATTATACCAAACGAACTATTTTTTCTAAATAATATCCGAACCTTATATGAAAATGATGTAGCTATTCTTAATATAGAGAAGACTAGTTAGATATAAGTTATGTTTGTTGTGAACGACTTCAGGAATTCTATGAACAACATTTAATGAACTCAATGTACTGGTATACCTCCTACCCCGTAAAATCAACTCTACGAGACTATAGTATAGTAGCAATAACATTTGCCCAGTTACCTTAGTAAATAGAAAAGAAGTTAATGTGAATCTCCTACTTCAAATTTGTATCAGTGTACACTTTTTGCTTCTAAAATTTGTTTATTTAAATTTTTGACCAGTAAACTTTTAAAAACAGGACGATCAACCATATCAAAGAACTGATATCGGAGACAAAAGACTCTTGAAGTATTTATCAGCTGTGTTAAAAGAGAAAAAAAATTCCTTGATTTTTTAGTTGTCTAGACGCCTACGCTTTACTTAAAAATGGAAACTGAATAATTTTTTAAAAAAATATTCACAGTTTTGAACCCTCCTCAAATGTAATCTTTATTATTATTATTAACGCGGAAGTCTACCGAGATAAGAATGATTTTTGGTGAAGTATCACATTTCTACGAAAAATTTAAAAACAATGTCGGTAAAAGTTAATCGTCATTTTCAGAAAAACAAGTAATAAAATTAAGCAAGAATACAAAAAAAGTTATGCATATGTCAATGAACGCAGAAGATTTTTGTATAGGGTAAAAATTTGTAATTTCAGGAAAAATAATCCCTGCCATCGCTACCACCACATCGGTCGTAGCTGGATTGGTGTGCATCGAACTCTACAAATTGGTTTTGTCACAGAAGAGCATTGAACCCTTCAAAAATGGTTTCGTCAATCTTGCTCTCCCTTACTTTGGTTTTAGCGAGCCCATAGCCGCACCTCAGCTGGAATACTGTGGAAACAAATGGACCCTGTGGGATAGATTTGAAGTCCAGGGCGAGATGACTTTAAGAGAGTTCCTGAAGTACTTCAAGGATAATCACAAGTTGGAAATTACTATGTTGTCCCAAGGCGTCTGCATGCTGTATGCATTCTTTATGCAAGCGGCAAAGGCCAACGAGAGGCTGGACCTCACGATGTCCGAAGTTGTGAGGAGAGTGTCCAAGAAACAAATCGAGCCGCACGTTAGGGCTCTCGTATTTGAATTGTGCTGCAACGATGAAGCCGGTAATGACGTGGAAGTCCCGTATGTCAAATATAATTTGTATTAGGGGAGAGTTGATCAGAACTGATGTGTACGATTTAGAGATGGAATTGTGATGTTTAAATTATTATTTTTATCCCTACTAATTATATAAACTAGCAAATTTGAGTAATAAATTTGTAGTAAATCCGACGGCATTATTACGTTTACACAGTGCTAAATTTAAATCACTTTCGTTTGAGGGGGACCGGTTTTGTGGAAGTGGATGCAATATTGTTACTATCTTTATCTCTGATGTACTTTTAAGGTTTAGTATCAGTTAACAATAAGCGATTATTTTCATAAAGGTGTGAAATTTAATAAAATGTTTTCAGCACAATCGTGTTTTGCAAATTTGAAACCCATACTAACCCAAAACTAACCAAAACATGAAAATTGGAACAAAATTTGAAAATAAAGATTTTTGAAAAAAATTATTTCATATATATCTCTTTATTTAAGGTACCTTTTAATTGTTTTTGAATAACAAAAAAAACGAAATCAAAACAATTCTATAATTGGAGTAAACCTAGTAGGTTAATGGAAATGACATTTTCATGTAAATGAATTTTGAGAAAAATATGAAAAACTTTTATGTAGTGTAATGTAGACAGGTAAGTTTATCTGATTTTAAACTATTAATATAGCGAATGTATAAAAACTTAAAAAGCATTTTCTAAATCTGTTTGCTATACTTTTTATTTATAAAAATTGGGGATGTCTATCGTTATTTTTAATATTGGTTTCAACAGGTGGGAGAAGTAATTTTCGCAAGTTGGGTAGGCAAACTCGTGAAGTTTCTGTGTGTCTGGACTAAACAAAATAAATCAAAAAATCCTTTCTAATTCTTGGCTAAATCATTGACAAATAATCGTAATTCCGTCATATATCACCATCTATTTACTCCGTAAACTATAGATTATAGTATTTATGCAATAAGTGTGGTAAACGGCCTTTGAGTCACAAGTTGACACGAGCGGAGCGAGTATTTATAATATAAACTAACCAAATGGGCATACTATACTTTTTCTAACGCCCTTAGTTTTGATTACATTCTTGCATAATAACACGAATATATTTACTGACATCCGGTTGCTCCCAAACCCGTGCGGTAAGATCCCGGAAAGGTTCGATTTGACTCTTATCCGTGGGACAATAAACTCCTTAGTATAGTCACGCTTCCCGCACGGTAGATCGGTGTTTAATTAGGCATTTTAGAGCAGGGAGTAGAAAGTAGTATATTGTGCAACAAGTGCGGTAAACGGCATTTGACTGATGAGTTTATTTGACACGAGCGGAGCGAGTGTTTAATAAACGAGTGACTTAAAATTTACCGAACGTGTTGCATATTATACTTTTTCTACGTCCGTTAGTTTTACATTCACTGTCATGACCGTCAGAATTGACAAACGTCAAAATTCAAAGCGTAGGATATATCTCCGAAAACATCTGATTGCTCTCAAACCCGTGCGGTAAAATCCCGGATTTGTTCGAAGTGGCTCGGATCCGTGGGAAACAAAACTGAAGTGGTAAAGTGGAGGTTCCCGCACGTTAGATCGGTGTGTAATTAGGCATTTTACAGACGGCAGTAGATAAATATATTTGATAAGGATAAGTAAACTGAGAGAAAATTTGAGTATTTTGATCAAGTCACTTAGTTATAGGCTTGCGTTCTGTTACTAGGTCACCGTTACAAAATTTTTATAGACTAGGTCGTACCTTTAACTACCTTTTTCTACTCCCTTCTGTAAAATACCTAATAATGCCACTTCAGATGTTTTCGGAGATTTTACCGCATGGCTTGAATTTTGACGTTTGTCAATTCTGACGCTCATGTCACAGAATGTATTCGTGTTGTTTTGCAAAAATGTACCCAAAAACTAACGGTTGTAGAAAAAGTATAGTATGCAACACGTTCGTTAAACTTCCTTAAGTCACTCGTTTATTAAACACTGGCTCCACCGCGCTCAGCTCGCGCCAAATAAACTTGTGACTCAAATGCCGTTTACCACGCTTGTTGCATAATATACTATTAAAGTCCGCCATGATATTAAAACAAAACTATTTTTATAAAATATATTTTTCTCGTCTAAGCGCTAACAAATTGCATTTAACAATTAATGGTACCCACTCATTGGTATAATTTTCGTAATACAAAGGGTTATACAACATTGTCCATAAAAAATATACCTAAAAGCAGAACCAACAATCAATCAATATCAATGTATGTACTTACTTCATTTTTGTGATTTTCTAAAAATATGTTACAAATTTGAAATGCTTTTTCAAAAAATGTATTGCTGGTCGTAATGCTTTTCGGTGCATTTTCGATGGAACGCACAGGTTGTCGAAGCTGACGAGCTTGACGCAAAGATTGTAAAATTTTGAAATTTTTGTTTTTTTTTGTTTTGCACTATTTAAGTTAATTTTTTTCTCTAGACATCTTTCGTACTTAGTGGCCACAAAATAATCTCTTCGACAGTAAATGCGGTGGAATTCAATGATTCCTTGGCCAATTTTAAGACAAAAATATTCTTTTAACCTGCTCCTACAGCACCTCCGCCTTTATGATACAGGCCGTTAAAGTTTATTTATTAATTTTTGAACTAACATTTGGAGCAATGTTGAGAGTTGGTTGGAAATTGATATCGAGGAGTTTTTTGGCAAACGAAAGATTTAAATTATTTGAACTCAGGTGGCTTTTACTTGATGGAAATTCACTTATCAAAATAAATAAGAACTAAAAGTTCAGATTTTCACGAAATTATACATTTTTTACATGACACGTGTTTCGACAACACCGTGTCTTTATCAAACATTTCACATTTGATAAAGAAACAATTGTCATGTGAATATATATAATTTCGTGAAAATCTTGAACTTTTAATCCTTATTTATTTTTGAAATTATTTATTTCATTTTTTTATAAAAATTTTATTTGATCTGGCTACAATTGCTAATGCATAAATTACGGATCTAATACTCCGTTCTCTATGCAGCTGATGGTCATCGAACATTAAACCATCAACTCCGCTTTTTCGCTTCGGAGGTGGTACTCCTAAAGTACTGGAAACTTCGCTTTTCTAAAGTAAAGCTAGATTTTATCTAGTTGATATTGCGTTATAAATCATCTTCATCGCTAGGCACTATCACGCTACCAAACACTTCTTCGGAACACTTGCTGACGTTGTCACCGTCATCTTTAGGTTTCGCTATCGAAAATCGTCTTTTTTCAGACGTCGGAGCTTTTAACTTGTCGATTGAGGGATTCCTGAAACAATAATTATCTGGTCCACTTCATCTTAAAACAATTAACGATATTGTATCGTGAGTTATTTTTTTAAATAAAAATACCTAAGGATTTTTCCTTTGTCCGAGTTTCCGTCGGATGTCGAACTTCTCGTCCTGACAATTTTTGGTGCGTTGGGTTTTTCTTCCCAAGAACTTGGACGCCTGTTGCCCAAATTCAGATCTTTCGTGCTGAAATCCGTTTTATATTAGAACTGTTACTCGAAGCAAATTAAATAGACTCACGGGTTATTTCCGATACGTCGTTTGTCCATTTCTTTTTGTATGAACTCTGGCATTTCCTTACTCGAAGAGTCCTAATAGCGGTTATTATTGTGAGGCAACATTTTAGAAGTATAATTAGTTCTTACCAACGACATCGATTTGATTTGGTCCGGATTAGTCCAAACGTTTGTGGTGATATCGGAGTCGGAATTGTTGAGCACCTCCGCCGAAAATGCGGATCTTGTAGGTACAGGAGGCGAAGATCTGGATCAAAAAGTCGAAATCATATGGTACAAAAGACAACACATGAATATGCGACACTAAAAGGATTTGGAACTTTTTTGTCTTTACTCACTCTAAATTAGGGTTAAGTAGGGTGAGACGGCCAGTTCATATCTGTTGGATTTTACGAAGGCCTAACTTACGAAATATATTTTCAAATTTACTTACATATCATGCCAACAAATAAGAAAATCGTTGGAGTAAAACTGTTTTTACTCCCTTCTGTAAAATCGATCTGTATACGTCGATCTAGAGTGCGGAAAGCCTCACTTTATCAGGCAAGTTTCGTGTCTCACGCATCTGAGTCTCTTCGGATATTTCCGGCAGAATCGGATATTTTCGTAGATTTTACTTGGTTTGACGTTCGTCAATTCTCACGGGTATGCCAGTGAATGTATTCGTGTTGTTTTGCAAAAATGTACCCAAAACTAACGGTCGTAGAAGAAGTATAGTATGCTGCACGCTTCGTAAACTTTTTAAGTCATTCGTTTATTAAACACTCGCTGTGCTCGTGCCAAATGCATTTTACCGCACTTGTTGTAGAATATACTATTACTTAAAATGTTTTTTTAATGCGTACAAAAATAAAAGTGTGCTTGTCCAACTATCGTCATGTGTCCCGGTGACCTGGCCACAAAATGTAAAGTAAACAAAAACAACAAAAATTCTATGCAAGGTCTAGATCTTTTGCTTTTTCTAAAAATATAGCTGTACCACACTGCTGGCAGGTATATACATCTAGTATTAACCCACCTTCTTTCTTGAGGCTGTTATCATAACTTTCTTTCAATTGTTCTGCCAATTTTTTTGAAGCGTTGTTTACCGAAAAACCATAGCTTCAATAGCAAGCCTCAAATTTCAATCAGTCTGGAATATGTACTTTCTTTGGTTAGTTGGGAATCGGTAGTTTCGATATCTTAAGCTCTCCCCAGAGGCGTGGGGGATGGTGGAGGAGGCAATTTCTACTACTGTGTCCGGGTGAGCTGTCAACAAAGTGTAAAGGAAACAAAAATACATAACAAAATTATTATTTAGTGAATAATTACACAATTCAATTCATAACGTGTCTAGATCTTTAGTTTTTTTAATGCAGTTGTAGCTCAATGCTTCGCACGTATATATAAATGAGGAATATTTTTTGTAGAATTACATCTCGTATTAATTGTATTGTAGATTGTAGGTTTCTTTCAAATTTTTTGCAATTTTCTAAATTGCCGTTTACCTAAAAATTAGCTTGGAAGGCAAGCATAAAATAGGTTAGGAAACAGTAGTTTCTTTGGTCAGTGGGCAATTTGTGATTTCGTTATCTCAAGATCTTACCTGAGGGATGGAGGATGGAGAAGTGACCCAACTCTACTACTATACTGTTGGCATTTTGCTGCACAGGTATTTAAATTCGTTGTCAAATATTTTTAATAGAATTTAAGGTTTATGTGGCTTATTGTAAAAACTCAAAACTAGAAATTTTTCTTGCACTTTTTAATTTTCAAACGACTTCAATGTCATTTTGAGGAAAACAAAGACAAAAGCAGTGCGTATTAATAGGGCAACGATGGAGTAAGTTTCAGCGTTTAAAAGCTGACGAGGCGGTGCGTCACTGATAAAGCATTGTCGATTAAGTAAAATTAATAAAAATTAAAAAATTTAAAAAAATTGCAGGCCATCAATATTTCAATAGTAAAATCTGGCTTCGATATGTTGACGATACTTTCACAATTTGGAACAGACGGTAGTACCTATTATTTTGCCGATCACCTCAATTCACAAAATATCTAAATCAAATGCAGTTACTCTCTTGAATCCAGTATCCAAACTTGAATGACTCTTGCATATTCTTTAATATGGACATGACCGAAGTCATGGAAGTAATAGAAAAAGTTCATCTACATAATGAAGACAAGAACCATAAACATGGGGGTTGAAAAGCTAACAAAAACGCCATAAAGGAAGTTGGAAGTTGACGCAGTGATTGGTTGATTGAAATAATTGATTATGGAAGTGCCTTTTAGTGTCACAACTGAATCATCTTCTCTAATCTTTAATGAAACGAAATGCTTACGCGCTAAACTCGTCGAGCCTCTTGAGTAAACGTTCATTTTCTCTGCAAACCAGTTCGTGGTCTCTCTGCAAAAGTTCCCGCGAGGAAAACAGTTCGATGTTCTCTTTGCGCAGATCTCCGTTTTCTTTTACGTAGAGTCTGACCAATTCGGCCAATTGAGGTCCGTCTAGTTTGGCCAGCTCGTCCAAATTCACGTGCAGCGTAGATTCCGCCAGCCTCTCGTCTAATGCGACATAATTTATTTATTCTTCTTGCGGATGGATAAAAGGTGAGTTGCGAAATACAAGTTTGCTAATAAAAAATATTCGTGTCCTTTATCGACTCTTGATTAGTTTTGGTCAGTTTTATTTCAAGAGAGTTTTTGAGGTTTCACGGCCAAAGAAATGCATGTAACCGATTAATAATAGAATCATTATTATTATATTTGTTAATCACTAGTGAAAAATCATGTAGCTGTTACTAGTGAGCATGGAAATATCGGATTATCGGATATGTGTCCGTTGTGGGAACAAAATTATAATTTTGCAATACTTGCCTATGGTTCTAGCAGAATGTAAAGGTGTGGAGACCGAATAAACGTTGAGAGCTGATCGTAACTGCTCGTTCTCTGTCTGCAACATGTCAACTTCTCTTTTTAAGCTCAGTATCAGGGCTTCCCGAGGATCCTGAAACATGCCATTATACCTTGTGAAACCACTCCTGCCATATTTTGTTATCAAAAGATGGAGGCAACACCTATCATCTTCACAATGCACACAGCAGTGTGTCTCAATTTTTTAAATTATTTACGCTACTTCAGCAGGCGAATCTTCGAATCTCTATCATATTTACATAGTCAGTCTATAAGTCAATTATTGTGAACTACAATAAGTTAGCGAGCGAGCCTCTAAATACATAAGGGAGCGTTGATATTTTTGTAAAATATTTTGTACATGAAAAGTAAATTTTAATGATAATCCATATGTAAAGTTAAATTCTTGTCTCTTTTAGTGGTAAAAATTGAGAATTTATATCGAAGTTGATTTTGCTTTTGATAGCAGTAATATAAATATGGTATAGCCCTAGCAAAATTATACTTATACCAAAAGTAAAACTCGTTCAAGTATACATCCTTGAAATATCTCACTCGGAACAAATCAGGAAATTGAGGCTACATTACCTATTACCAAAATGTTCCAGCTCCAGAGATTGTACTAATTCAGCAAATCCCTTGGAGTAGTCTAAAAGAATCATAGACTGTCGAAATGCAAACTAAAGCTTATTAAATATTTTATTCTCATAAAAAATTGTAAAAATTCGTTTTCAAAGGAGCTTCCACAGGCTACTCTAATACTTCTTAATCTTCTACAGAAGATTTGCAATTAGTGATGGAATGGTTATTGGGCTTAGATCTGGATAATTTTTATGATTGGTTGGTGCCTTATCAAGACCACTTTTCCAATTGCATGGAAAATAATTTTGTTTCATACAATAGTTCATCACGTGGATACATTTATTAGAGATTTCCTCCACTTCCATGATGAAATTTAATTACACTAGCTAAAGCGCTTCAGAATAACCACCCTGCATAATTTTTGGGTAATAAACACATAGAATAATAGAATAGATTAAAATCTCTATACTGGAAACGATATTGATGCTGATAAATAGGGGTGTGGGTCCTTGGGTCGCATGAAGAAGAAAAGTTCAAACAAACTTTTGTTTGACACATGTTTGTTTGAAGCAGTGTGAAGTTTTAGTTAGTAGAAAATATAAAGACTTCTAATAATGTTGAAGAGAATTTTCAGACTTATCTTGGACTTGGGAAACGTGTATCGTAAAATAAAAATAAATTCCAGAATTTTCTCGTGCTAAATTGTGTCAATTAGTTTTCTTTTTTTCTGAAAAAAAATCTGCAACGGACTTACCATCAAAACGACAGGTTTGGTCCTTATTTTTTTCGCCCGGGCCGCATATCTTAGAGTGTTAATAGTCTCGTTGATGTTAAATTTTGCGGGCGATATGCAGGCAATCTGAAAACAGCAACAAAGGCGCTGTAACTGTCCTTAGAAGAAAATACCTTCATCTTACCATCAAAGTTACTCCATTCCCGGCCAAAGAATCGGCCAGCAATTTCGTTAGTTTCGAGTCTCTGTAGGGAATATGGTTTCTCTTCTTAGAATCGCTCAAGGACGATATGCAGTACCCTGGAATTACAAAATAATAACACTTGACCGTTGCGATGACCTTGAAACCTGACAAAATGACAAATTGCTATAAATCGAATTCGTGCTGTTAGTATTTATAATTAATTTTCACCCGGGCCATTACTACCGTAACTGATTAACCATTAGGAAAATCAAGGAGAACGTATCGAAAGGAAAATCTAATGAATAAACCGCGTTTCTTTTAACCTGGCCCGCGCCACGAACACTTAGTTGAAAAGGTTCCGGTCGTTCATTATTAATAATTAAATTCCAATTTTAATGGAAAAAGTTTTGTTGCCGATAGTCCTGTCAAGTTCGCTTTAGCCGGGGTATCGACCATCCATTTGTATATATAGCGTGCGCAAAGTAGCTAATTTGCGCACGAAAATCTTTTTTTTTACGGAAGGTAAATCAGCAATATAGAACGCGTTTCAGGAGTCCTCGGGCGGTTTGAGATCGCATCCTCTTTTAACTCGAAAATTTGCTAAATATGATGTCAACGGTATTGATTTAAGACAAATTTCAGATAGGTAACTCTTGATTCCCACAAGGCTTCATATTAGGACCTTTCAGTTGGGCTTCCTACTGTAACGATATTTCGCTGAGCTGAGGCGCACAAAATATAAAAAAACATAAAATATTATATTCTCAATATAAATAGGAACTAAAAGTGCAGATTTTCACGAAATTATATATTTTGACATGACAATTGTTTCGACAACACCGTGTCTTTATCAAATGTAATATTTACAAACTACCTGCTACTATATATACCGAAAAATGACAATAAAAACCTTAATTAATGTTGTGAGAAATTAAGTTCAATAAAGAAGAGGTATTTAAATCTAATTGATCGTTAAGCAATATATTTGAGGTCTCATTTTGTTAATCTCCATGCCTTCCAATAAATTTAATTTTCTACGTTTTGTGGCTGTATATAAAATATCAAAATTCTCGTCAAAAATGTGTTTTTCTGTGTTTAAGTGTGCAGCATAATTAGTTAGTAATATGTTCGTTAATGTCCAATGTCCAATATAAATTTTAGGACAAGATCCGCATTTCAACCTGTAGACACCTGATTTTTGGGATTTTGGACATTTCGTTTTATTGTTTTTTAAATATTTTCCTATTTTTTCACATTTTGACAAATGTTTTGAAACTTTCTTATTAGGTTCTCCTATGTATGTAATTGTTTTAAATTGTTCGTGTTCTGTATTAGGTTTCGGATAAATAGAGTTTACTGTTGTCTGTATTTGTTTTTTATTTATAATTTTATCTATAATGGACGAATTGTAGCCGTTGTTCAGTGCAATTTGTTTAATGATATTAAGTTCTTTGTTGTAATTTTCAGTTGAGAGTGGCGTATTAAGAACTATGTATGTAAAAGAGTTAAATGCAGCCATTTTGTGTGTATAAATAGAATCTAAAAAAGAAAGTTTTACTTTACGAGATCAAAAAACTTCTCCTTAATTTAAGCTACCTTGTTTCTGTACAGTTGCCGGGTTCCTAATGGAAAGAGTTGAATTTTAAACACCCGGTATAGTTTAACTAATAATATAATTTCATTTACCTAAAACCATAAGGCTTTTGTTTATGTTGTTCGCCTCCTCCAAAGTTTTTCCTTCGCTCTGAGTCTTTTTCGTCATCTCGCTACCGGCGAGATCTACAAAATTGACTTTTCCGGTTCTCGAGATAAAAACACCATTTTCCGCCGGTTGCTCGGAGGTAATGTACACGCTCAAGATCGTGTGGCTTCGACTAGGATACAATAATTAAATAAATAAGTCCTTTATTTGCAATATAAGTATATAAAATGGATCACAAAACATAAAAACATTAAAAATTATCAACGTTCTTACATTACGTGTGCTACTTGTTGAGTGAGGAACACTCGAGAGAATATGAATCGGTACGGAGAAAGAAAACAAACAATTATTGAAAAGCTCAATTCAAATAAACATAATATACGGGGTTTATAATTATCTTCGTGTTCTGGGGATGAAGTAACAAAACTTATTGAATGCATCTTTTGCCGTGTACAGGAAAGACTAAAATTGGTACCTTGAATAATCGTTCATATTATGCTTTCCGACCGCTCGATTGCGAAGCCCCTCTTCCAGTACAGCGATCAAATCATCCAGTTCTTCGCAGTCCACCGTAAATAAATTTTCGACAAAGAACCCTCTAGCTTTCTTGCTCCATCTTACGGCCAGAGGTTTTCTCGCGCTACCCGGATTCAGTAAATCTATTACCTTGTATAATGAAATAGTGTTAAAGCATTACGTATTATATGGATAAAATTCTGCATATAGTTCGTCCAAAGATATACCGTTTTTACGACATAATGCAGTATTTTCATAAATAGATACGCAATTCCAGGACAGTACTGCGGCCGCGGAACTGGCACATCCAACGAATATTTCCTGCTGTTACCATCAGTCTATCCCTTCTTGACGGTATCGGCTATCTTTTAAATATGTGATGGGGACGTTTTAGGCACGAATTTCTTGGATTTCTCGCAAATATCTTGTCCTCCGCCCCGAAATTCTTCTTGATTCCATCAAAACTTGTCTTTTATTAATGGTTTTGTAATAAAAAAGATTCTAATTCGCATCATAGATCAACCGTCTCATTATTCCGGTATGGTGCATGTCAAGTAATTTTTTTGGAACCCCTTTCTTGGAAACAATTCACAACTATGTCAAGTACTGTTTTAGTCCTTTCGGACGTTAATTTCATTAACAGAAATACATTTAAAATTATAATTTTGGCAGCAACCGACAAATGTCTTCGATTCTTTGATCCATTTGAATTAGACGGATGTTTACCATGAACGATTATTACGTCATCGACCACAATCTCAATTTCTTCGTCCCGGGACATCGCAAGTGACTAGCAAAATTGAATATCCTTAGTATTTGGTAAGAAATAAATTGTAATAAAATGTATATGGTAACTCACTAAAAATGGCACACCGAGTCTTGAAAAATAATTGAATAACTGTATGTTGGTAACTAATTGGTAATAGAAATAATTCCAAAGCTTCCACTGCTAAGAAAATACTGTTTATGAAGATTTATGAAAAGCTCACTAATATGATTTAATATAACAGTTTAATCAAAACCATAAACAAAACCATAAAAGGTTGTAAAAACGGTATATCGTTCGCAGAACTTTAAACGCGTCCATTTTGCATACCTTTTCGTTGTATATTTCCAGATAGCTAGCCTTAAGGACGAAGTGCTTATCAGGTTGGTTCTGAATTTGTTGAAATAAATACATGAATGACCTAAACACTAATCCGTGCTTATCGCTGTACGGGGCAGTCTTCAAACCAAACTGTAATTAAAATAAAGATCTAAAGGCAACTGTAATACACCCAAATGCAAGGTGTTTCCTAAGCAAATATCTGTGTTTATTTCCAGTATCGTCCTGAGGCTGTGTAGTAGTCAAATAAATTTGAAGTTTCTTTCGTTTTCTAAGTCATGAAATTATTAGCTTTTTCTGTTTTTATTTTATAATAATAATTAATGATAATTTTATGATATCGCAAACGAAAGACACCTCAATTTCATTGTATTATTACACAGCCTTATCTTTCCTCTTTCTAATTATTAGTACTCTTTGAAAAAACAGTTTCAGAAAAAAAATCAAGAATCTGGGAAATATTGTAAAAAGAAAAATAATCTCAGAAATGTAACGATAATTTAAATTTAAAGCCCAATTCTCATGTACCAGATGTTTTTCCAGAAACCGACGTGGAAGATCAGCTTAGCAAAGATCTCTTAAAGAATTACAAAAGCTCTTGAAAGAAAAACTAAGAAAAATTAAAAAACTGCTGTCGTATTTTTAAAATCCTTTGAATTTACAAGAATAGTCGGATTAGAACTCGTTAATATTTGAAATCGTTGATTCAGGAACAAAATAGGCAAAATATCGGGCATTTTTTTATCAAAATTTGCAGCAATAAATGAACCCATAATAAAAACCCATTATTCACTATGAAAGGTCGATTTAATACAATTTATTAGTGGCCAACACCTATACGAAGTGGTCTATGAAACTATATTAAAACTTTCCATCATTCGTTTCGATCAGTTCTATCAATATTACGAGTGTATATTAAAAGCTTTAGTTACGGTCGATCGAAGTTATGGCTGCGAAGGTCATCTTATCTTTTAATTAAGATTATAATACAGAAACTGAACTGGAAACTGGAAATTGTATCTTTGCCCTTCCCTTGAGCAAAAAATAAATATATAGTTTGATAACAAATATTTTTACTAATTTGTGTAATTTGAAAATTACATATAGCTCTATTTTTTTCATTTGGTACTAAACTATTTATTAATGGCTAAAACACATTGTTAGTTATAAGTTTTTTCAATATTTATCATGTGAAATGATTAATTTTAACATTAATCTGTAATTTTGGAGTTTAACTATTTGGGCGTAATTTTTGTTACAGTTTAATATATTAATATAATATTTATAACTGATATTATAAATTATAACGTAGTGGTCAATCATTTCAAAATGGACAAAAGGTTATTAAATTGAAAATTAGCGTCTTTGAAGCTGAAAAATTCCGAATTTGATATGAAATTCTCAATTATTTTTTATATTATCCACTACACTTGAAACGCTGACGATTGGAAAGAGTAATTGTTTCTACTAAAGAAACATACTCCGTAATATCAAAATAATTTTGTATTGCGGTGGTAATCTACGTTCTTCTAAAATAGCAACAAGATAAAAATGTTAACACTTTTGAGGCTTGCGTGTACTGATATATAATTTAAATTTCCTATAATACACACTGTGAATATGTGACTAAAACTTGCGAGCATATAATAGAACTTTGAGCCTCTAATTTTAATAGGGAACTTTTTCTCCAAGAAAAGTAATTGTTAAGCGGACTTTAACAGGATTTGAATGCAAGGGGTCTATTGCACCATATTTTTTCTTATTGATGAATCACTTCTTTTGTTACAAAACAACATTGCTTCCGTCACTTTCTAAATAACTTTCCAAAACAAAAGAATTTCAAAGTTGACTTACGAGACCGGGTGGTCCAGTTAAAGTGTGTGTCTTCCCGCTACCCGTCTGACCATAACAAAAGCAAGTGCATCGGAAGCCCTCGACGGCCATCTCTATGAGCCGTTTCATGCCGGAAAACTGCAGGACATCCTCTTGGGTGGCTGCTGGCTCAAACACGACGTTGTAAGAGAATAATTTCTCTTTTTGACCACCACTCGGCCCCCCTGGGATACCGTCCACCTACATTACAAATTAATATTGTGGTAAATCGATTGAAAAAGCGGACCTATCGCAGCGAAGACACCATAGAAGTAATAATATAGGAGAATCGTCAGTGCGTATGAGAATGAGCAACAACGACTGTACGTTAATTATGTTACTTTAATTGTAATCACATCAGTCCGATAATATTCCTTTAAAAATTTCCATTTTACTTCGTTAGAAAAAAAAAACAAGAAAAAATTCTGATATAGATTTAAATCAAACAGAATGTAGTTAAATAAATATGGCCTCTGGTAAATCAATATAACTATATTCTCCAGGCATCATCATAATGAGAAAATATAAAGTTTACAGCAAATGTGGTCGGCAATACATAATAATTTTTGAAAGAAACTTCCACAGGCTACTGTAAAACCGACGCAGGAGGAATCCAGAAGTTTTGTCAGTGGTATGAATATATAATAGTCAAAAAATATAAACACCAATTTTGCAACGATTGCTGCAGAATTATAGTCATTGAAATAAAAATGTCTAATTGTGAAATAATCAGTTTTGTGTTTAAATGCGGGTCAACAATAACAGTCGGTTTAATAATCATACCAAGTGAACGCCCCGAATTAACATTTCTTACCATGACTTGGCCATTTCCTGGAAATTGGATAACGAACGAATCGCCGTTCTGGGTTTCCTTTTTACTTAACGGCCTGACTCTGTAAACAGAAAATTGATACAATGATTAAAATAACTTTAGAATACAATAAAACCTTTGACCGACGTTTACACGATGGGAATCTTTAAGAACGTGTTTTAGGAAACTAATAATTAACCTAAGACACCATTGGTGTTAAATCCCCGTCAAAATTCCAAATCAAGGTGAATTTTATTAATCATATCTATATTTAGTATTAATATCGATATTTTACCTAACGACCACGTTTATATTATCCTCAGCTTGATTGTAGCTGGTTATAATCCGTCGAAGGTTGTTGTCCTCGTCGAACCTTTCAATGCTGCCAGTCCTGCAAAGGCGACCGAAAAAAAAACCATTAATCAAACATTCAATAATCGATTTATCATCGCCGATTGTTAATTACGGAAAATCGGGAAAAATCCGTTTCGTTTCCAGATAAGCGAAAACACTCGTAAAAAGTAAGCACAGGAATGGTGTTGATCGTTTATCTTGCGGATGAAATTTGATAATGTAATATAGGTAATTATAATTTAATTTCTGTATAATGTATTTTTTTTGTTTTTTTTTTAAATTTTTACTCTGCTGAAAGCAAAGGGTTGGTCAATTGATAATAATAGACAAAAACCATATATTAACCCAAACACTCTACATCTCCCTGTAATATACTATAAGTAAAATGTAGTTTTTGAAAAATACATTTCGTTGCTGAAATATGAACAAAAATGTGACATCTTCCACGAAACTGACCCTTACAGTATGTTCAAATAACGGATTGTCTTCGACCGTAACCCGATAAGTGGTAATAGATGTTATGGAAAACTTTTTTTATTGATAAATCGACCAGGAATGAGTGCTGAAAACAATTTTCAACGTTTTTAGATAGAGGCGTAACTATTAAGTCAAAATAAAGAACCGAAATTGTCTAAAAAAGTTTTACAACGAGAAAATAAATAATTCTTTGTTATTTTATTATATTTTCTGTCTCTGGAAGGAAGTAGTAAATAATTTAGGTGTAAGCTGGGCTGGGCTGGGCTCGTTTTAAATATAATGTTGTAGTTGTTACAAATATAATTTTGAAAGTGTTGCTAATTTTAATTTTGGTGTGTAAATAGTTCATGTCGATCACCAAATGGCAGCTTCGTCAAGAAAGTTAAACAAAGTGGTACAAAAATAAAATTAATATAAACTTAACGGATCCTGTCTCCTTATTTATTTCCATTTCGTTTATCATTCTTATTGTTTTTAGTATATAAATCGTATTGTATCTAATTTTATTCTTTTTTATTTTAAATTATTTATGGACTTTAATCTTTATCTTTCACAATCATATAAAGTACTTCTTTGGTTAGTTTTGATTATCGATAGATATCGATCTTGTTTCTAAAACTATAGCTTAGTAAGTTTTTAAAAATATTTTGATTTGCTCATTTTAACTTCGGTTTTACGCCTCTCCCCGCAATTTGAACTCACTGAAATAATTGTCAAAGGTTTTATATTGCAAATTTACCCATGGTTTTATTTCCAAAACATCTATGGGCAATAGATTCAGGGATATGACCGAGAGCCATCTTTATTTGAGTACCCTGTATAATGAAACCGGATTAAAATATCAAATGAAGACTTTTTTAATTTAACATTATTAAAGTTATTAACATCATAAGTTATTATTATAACAAATATTATAGCATTAATAAAATTAATATTTTATAATATATTTTGCTTATAAGAATATATTGTCACTTTTAGAGAGTGATTTCATGCTAAATACATTTTTGAGAGTACCCTGTATTACCCTGTATGTCTTTGGTGATACTAAGATAAAAACGGATTTTTGTAGACATTTCCATATGTACTTTTGTTTTATTGTAAATTTGATACTATCGAAAAAATGTTATTTTAAAGAATTTTGGTATGATTCTATAGAAAAATGTAATAAAAAAAATATTTTTAACCTTTTTTTGAATAAACTAAAACACAGTGATTTGTTAAAATCATAATATATAAATTAATTGTTTGATTGTAGCATAAATTAAACATACTAAAGGAAATAAAAGAAACTTTAACGATAAAAAAACTATTATGGTGGAAAGATAACGCACACCCCATTATAGATGTAACGGTCCTATTTGATTAAATGGATGAGGTGTTATAATTATTTCGATTTATTTTTTCTTTCAAAAACGGCCATAGTAGCGATAAATCCAACCGACCGACAGTTTTTCCCTAAAATTCTTTCACATTTAAGTCGTATTGCAAATATGCAAATTTAAAATCAAACCAATTCTTGAAAGAATGGATAACATTTGGTTCTAAATATTTATGAGGGGTTAGGTCTTCCATATGGCAAAATACGGCTTTATCAAAACAAATATACCTTGCTGTTGGTATTCACTTCTTTTTATTGAAATGTAATCTTGGAATACCAGCTCTATTTTCTTCGTTGTCAATATTCATGTTTTTATTGCAATAGAATTGGTAAAATTATAGATGCTGTTACAGTTGCAATTGTGGTGTAACAGTGAAAAGAGAATCATTTGCACTACTTAATGATATCAAAAAATACACTGTGTTCCACCTAAAAAAGTATCTGGTACAAACAATCTATCAAAGGGCGTATTTATCTTTTTGCATTTTTCTTGAAACCACTTACTTAACTTAAATTGCTAGGGGGACAAGAAATTTGGGATGCACTTTTTCCGGGAATCTTCATTTATCATCAAAAATATAAATATGCGGATTTCGCTACTTTTCTGTCAATTGACAGATGGCATAAACGTAAATTCCCTATCTCTTTTCATTTGTGTATTTTTTTTTTTTGCATTTGCATTTTTTTGAGCCACTGTAGTAAAACAAATGCGAGCTGAAAACTCAAGGTTTATATATTTTTGTTCGTTTCGTCTCCTTTTCCCTTTTATTCTTTCCTACATTAATAAAATCAATGGAAATCAATCACAAGATCATTTTGTTACGTCTAAAAGCAGCAATCAACAAGTTATTATTTTTTCCCTCCTTTCTCTTTCGATGCAAAAGCACACCATTTTTGGATCATTAACTGTGCCGGGGTTGCCTAACGAGCGACAAAGGCTCGTTTGTATATTACATTGCTGTACAATCTGGTCAGAAATAGACAATACGTAGCGTAATATATGCCCGAGCTGCGATGAATTCTAGCAAAATTAGCATTGCGTGCAGGCTTAAACGTCGCGTCGACATTATCCACTATTCACCACCGCAAAGGCGAAGGGTAAAGGACGGTCAGGGTCAGTCAATACCATCATCATCGACTTAAATTATTCCGATGGGCGTATGTATACACGGCAATAATCCGAATTACGTACTATGAATGTATACTAACTTATTAATATAATAAAAAGTTACCCTTGTTTGTATACAAAGCATTAAAAATATGTTTATTCATGTCACTACGTGGAAGAAAATTGACACTTTTCACGTAAGTTAGTCGATCATTACAAACTTTGGTAAATCGAAGCTTCATCGAAAAAATATAATATACAATAAGGGCCTAAACAAACTCGTGACATTGTCGTTTATAAAACTTGTTTCATTGTAAACTAAACTAAACGACAGTGAAAATTTTCCATTTTTTGGCCACGGATTTGGAAGAGAAAGCGAGTCTTGTGAGGCTCTTTAAGATGTAGGGTGCATGACTAGGTCATAACTCCTTTTTGAAAGGTAGCGAAAATACTGAAAAATACTGGAACTGAAACTAAACAATAACAGATTCTATCTAAATTGCATCAAAGAATAACTTGTCTTGAACTGATCTAAGCGACACAGTATCTTTGTGATGCTTTGGTAGCCCATTGCCCATGTGATGGTTTTCTGCAATATGGTGTGAGAGATGATCTTACCTTATCTTAATCGAATAATATTAAAATTTGCCCCATAAGGGTTATAATGAGAATTATAACCAGTTGTAAAACAGGTTCACCCGACGAAGACATAAGGACAGAAAAGATCAGACGAATAGCAAAAAAATATAATATCCAAACCGTCAAGAGCGACTTCAAGAAGTGAATCGACTAAAACTAAACATCGATCAAGAACCATAGGAATTGCATAAGAACAGAGATAATACGAACACACTTTCATTGTTGCCCAAAAGCATTGTCAATATGACAGGAATGACTCCAGCATAGAATAGCATAAGATAAATAAGACTGAAAATTGCTATGGTAAGCTGTTCGAACGGCTTCCTTCGAGGACACTTGTGAGAGATTTCCAAATTGTCTGTGATCAAACACCTTCTAAATATACTACTTGAAGAATACAAAAAACAGGAAGGGATAAATGTTGTAAACTGCGACATAAAATGATCAGATGCTAGTGTTATCTACAGGGAACGTACCTGCAAAAAGCGCAAATTTAAAGACTCCAGCAACTATTAACGAAGTTGTTAGCAACTCAAGAGTGAAAATATCCACGATTTGGCAGCCACTAATAAAGCGCACAAGTCTTTAGTGGACCACCTCGAGATTGACTGCTCCTAACAACGTCACGGATGAACAACAGAGTTTTAGTTTCAACCACGATCCGCATCATTCTGCAGTAATTATTTAAATGAATTTTTAAATATGCACTTGAGAAACCAGGTACTGATATTGGTCGGTGTAGTCCATTTTAGATGGACTCGACGATACTCAAACGAATACTGATCCTTGCCCGGTATAATCCAGTTAATATGATAACAAGAAGAAATATGCAGAAAAAAGAAGAAGTACACTGTGTTAGGAATACCGCAAACTAGGACACATTATGAGCCGTTGCGAAAAAGAATACTAGCCACTGGAACCATCAGTCCATAGAACTACCCAAACAGTATTATTTTCAGCTACTAGGAATACCAACGCCCCAACAATATCCATTAGCCATACATCAAAGTATCTTTTTCAGATTCTTTTTCCAGAATGTATTTGCTCATAGAAAAAGAAACGGAGTAATGGTTCTCAACTAAGAGGGAATTGTTTACTGTGGCTATAAACAAACCACAACTTAAGCTGTAAAGCTGCCATGCCAAAATTATCACAATAAGTTTTTTTAGTGACTTTTAAAGTACTTTAAAATTGTCATGAATATATTATCAACGAGTAAAACGAAAACTTCCAGAAAATAACCGGAGCACGCCACCCGTTGTCAATCGGGAGAATGAGCGTTCCTACATTATTAATTAGGTTAGATTCAATTGCATGCGTCTTTGCTGCCCCAAATGAATGACAATTTATATGGCTAATTCCATATGAAAGGTTAAATGTGAACACCCACGTTCATTGTTGAGTTTTGCTGCTTCTATAATTAAATAGAATGTGGAACTTTCGATTTACCTCACATATATGTTTAAAGTTTTGCTTCGTATGTTCTGCGCCACGACCAGCAAAGATTTATGAAGAATTGTTGAGGAATTCATTTAAATTATTCGAAATCAGTCAAGTTTCGGTATATACAATTGTATATGTGAGCTTTGGGATCAGAAATTACCTTTCCGATCACATCTGGGTGTTTGGGCTATCATTTAGGCTACACCCTGATGGTCAACCATTGAACCTGCAGTCTATTAAATTAAATAAAAGTTGTATATTTAGATACCAAATGCCTTCAAAATTAAATTAACAAAGGTGTACTAAGTAATATTATATCAAAACCAAATTATTTGATGTTAGTATTTCCTTTGTGGAACATTTATTTACCATTTTACCAGCAAAAAAAACCTTCACAAAAGTTTAGCTGTAGATATAAATTAAGTTTCTTCGGAATTCATTTATATGTTCTACAGGTTGGCCGAATTTTGGACTATCAAAATTGACATTCAAAACAAATTGAGCTAGTTAATTTTGCAAAGAAACTTCCACAGGCTACTGTTTTTGCTGAGTCGAACTGGCTGACGTTTCGCCAATCATCCTGTTGGCTTCTTCAGAGCTTGACAAAAACTGGCTCGCATTTTACTCAGTACCTGCTTATATATATTGTTTGTCTCAGATGACTGATTCCATATTGGTAACAGGTAGAGAACTGAGTCGCCGTTAAGATTGTTAGGTTGTTTATAGATTTCTATAGACTTTCGGATTTTTCGTTGGTAGAAAAATTGATTACATGGAAGAATTGTTGTTTTATCGAATAAAATTTTACGTCCGGATTCGTGATTGTGTTCGGCAACAGCTGATGAGTTTATTTGTCTTAGTCGTAAGGCTCTTTGGTGTTCTTTGAGCCTAGTTGATATTTTTTGTCCGGTCTCTCCAATACATTCTTTGCCGCATATGCATGGAATGCTGTAAACTCCTGATATCTCAAATGGAATTATGTCTTTGATGGACTGAAGATGTTGAGATTTTAACACTAACATTGAGTCATTGTATTTACAGAAAACCTACGCACACAACCCGATGCCTTAATGCATGGTCACAGAGCCGTAAAACTATCTCAGCCCGAGTCACTGAATCCAGAATGAAATCACCTTACCTCTGCTCTTCTCTCTTATAATTTCCACATTAAAGATATTAAGCATTTAATCAAAAAATATACTTCACCACAACCTTTCACACTTGCCACTGTGGTCCTTCCTTACATTCAAAACATCACTGACCATATATCAAAGGTTCTAAAGAAGTATAACATCAAAACCAGATTTACCACTTATCCAAAAATCTCTCAACATCTTCGGTCATTTCGGCCACTTTAGATGAAAGTGTATCAAACAAGAACTAGTAGTTCTACGAATTTTAAAAGCTAATACAGAAAAATGCAACATAGTTTTCCTCGAGTAACAATCCATAAAACCAAAAAATTAGCAGGGAATTACTTTAGTTTTTGTGTGGAAAGTAGGAATTTCAAATTCAGACACTCTGTAGAAAAACCCAGCGAATTCCGAAGAAACTCCTCATCTTACAACCTTTGGGAACTTTTTTCTCAAAGAATATATATATTTTTAAGTATTTATCACTCACTCACTGAATTTTGGTAGCTTCAGAACGTTGTGCAATTGTGATCTCATTTAAAAGATCCGCATCTTTAATATTTTAAAAACTGCCCATACCCATTGAAAAAATAGCCATCCTCTATGCAATTTGTTTTTAAGTGGGGTTTTTGATTATTAAAAAAGAAATCACGCATCCTTTTCTTTCATGAAGTGTTTATAGACCAAAACTATAGTCAATTAACTTCAAAAACTGTTCGAATTTGTCGCATTAATCTTCTCCTTGCGTATTTCAGCTGCACTCATGTCACACTCAAAGTTTAGAAAATATATACCTTGCTTAAACCTCAAATCACTCGAAAACCACATTAAACAAGAAGACCTCTTGTTACCGAAACATTTTTTTACAGAATTGTATCTTTGGAAAGAGATATATTTAGGTATATTATTTATTATTATATTTTCCCTAAAAATTGGCGAAACGTTTTGTGAAATATCCAATATATTTCAAAATCTTTAAAACCCATTTAAATCCACTGCAAGCGTGCGACTGTTGAAACTAACTTTATTTCTCACCTGAAAAATATAAACCCATACTATGTTTGAATTTTGATTTGTCTATTAACCTTATTAAGAAATAACAACATCCAGCTATCTTACTCGCTTTCTCTTCTTCTTCTTCTTTTTCCGGATTCGTTGTTCGTCCCTTTGACAGGACTATTACCTCTCGATCGAGTAGGCGATGGAGCAAAAATGTTTTTCGGGGGAGTTCTGCTGGGAGATCTTCGAGATTTGTTTGGAGAAGAAGGGATTGCGCTCTTGGCATTGTTCTGCCTCAAAGGACTCGTGCCTCTAGACGATGGTGGCGTCCTACGCGACGTGTTTGATCTTGTCACCAAATTAGTGCTGTTGGGTAACGTTCCGTTCATTTAGTGGGAGACTAATTTGGCCATAGGACCTTTAAAATTAAGACAGATTATATTAGATATAATTTCAATATTTAATTATTTTTTGAGCATTTTCGAGTTTTAAAATCGATTAATTAATTATGTAATTAATAAAATTACAATGAAACAATGTAAAAAATTATGGTGTAGCTGTGTTTTTAAAACTTCAGTTTTTAGTAAAGTTATAGTTGTAATATGGCACTTTTTCATGTTACTGAATTTTTTCAATGCCTGCAATGTGACAGGTTGAATCTTCTTGTGTTTGGCGTTGCGTGGCTACCTGGGTTTTTCAGAGCAATCATACAATGGTGAATCGGTTAAGGAAGGCTGGTGGATCAATTTTAACTATATACGTGTGCACATTCAATGTATTAAACAATGAATGAATGAAAATATCAGAGTGTCATAAAAAAGGAACTGTTAAAAAAATAAAAATATCAAATTTAAGTTGCATATAACTAGCTAGTTTCAGCCAGTTAGGATCAAGTGGATTCAGGTGGTACTTGATTTCTAAAGGCAATTTCAGTTTGTTTAGTCTGGGTTCTGGCTTAGCTTAGTTTTAGTTTTTTTTAGTTAGCTTAGTTAGGTCCCAAATGGATCACAGAATATTGAGCCAAAGAGAATAAAACTTCTGAATTCACCAGCCAAACCGAAAACAGTACTAAAGAAAATAATTAACAATAACACGACAATGAGGAGAGTAAGTCTCAGCATTTCTTACTGAGAAGTGTGAAAAGTATACTATATGCATACATATAGTCTTTCTATTTCTCTCTGCGATCCTAGGTTTTCATTTGTGTGTGTGTTTCTTTTTTTTTAATTTGTTCTGCATTAGCTGGTATAGATGTAGTTACTGTATAAAACGCAGCTATGACTAGAATTTCTGGTAAAGTTGCGGTTCTAAAATTATTTTTTAAAATTGTTTTCTGATTTTTTTGTAACGCAGCGAATGCGATTATTAAATTATAATTAAACATTAATAATAATTATAAAATAATATATACAATAATAATCATAATTATAATAATCTATTAAAATTATTACTGTTTATTAACCAAATGTCAGAGGTGGAAAAATAAATCTATAGAAAAGCATTATCCATTTATCCATTATATTTTAAAGTACCTTATAAAATACACTTCGATAATAAATATGTTTCCAATCAAGATGGTGACTTTAAAATGTGTATTTTTGTTTTTTATTTAAAAATTATCTTTCGAGTAAATCAATTACTCCAACCAACGTGTCATATCATCCGTCTTATTGGTATAAATATTTTATAAATATGCGTATTTTCAAGAACCAAAAAAAAACGCATAAATATAAATAAAATTATGTGTTATTTTAATTATATGCTAAGGATCTTTACAGTAACTTTAAATACTAACCTGTAAAAATAATACGTAAAATATTTATTCCATTAAACTAGTATAAGCGAAACGTTCGAATCTAACATACTTCACGTCTATGAATTACATGCATTTTAGTGCGTCGCGACGCGCCGAGCAACTGTCTGTCCGCGCCGGAAAATGTGCTCGAGTTGACATTGGTCGCTAGGGACGCCGATGTTCTTCGATACAAACTTAACGCATTGCTGTATCGCTTAAGGGGCCAGATGACAAATTTTTATACACTTCAAGGAATGAAATCCGAACTCCTTACAATTAGTTATTTAATACCCGTAAAACTATAAATAGCAGAAGTAACTTATATAAGTAGTTTTGGTTTGTTTAATAAAGTATCTTTTTTCAATAGGGTCGATCCTGAATATGTAAAATATATTATATTAGCTTATAGATTTTTTAGCCTTGAAGTTCTAGAATAGAGAATATTTTGCCAAGTCCGTAGGTAAACCGGCAAATCTAGCCTTAACACTTTATCACTGCAGAGATGCAATGTATTATAAAAAATATAAATTAATATAATAAAGTTACTTTGGAAGTTTTTATGAGATAATTATAAAATACAATGACGGAGGATTAAATATTTTGTATGTTAATCACTGTATGGATATGGTCTGTTCATAGATATAAGAAAGTAACCAATTGCTTTTGAATGGGATTATCCAAGGATGGTCATTAACATACAATGCAACAAGATTACCTAAAGTTTCGGAATTTAAATTCAGGCAAAATTGTTTTCCGTAATAGAAAATAATTTTATACCTACCTGTGTTTCATATTCTTTGGTTTGATATACTATTTAGTTTAAGTTTATTAGGAATCATTCTTATTTCGTGTTTAATACAGCGTGTGTTGCATCGTGTGGGAATTATGCAAAATATATGCGGGTTTAGTGTATCTCAGGAGATGCTCCTGTCCAAATGTAGAAAACACTATTCTATTGAGACTAAGGAAGTTATAAACAATGTTTATTTGACTCTCATTGAACGTGGTGCCAGCAAGCAAGCATCTTTAGAAGAAGCGGCCACATTGACGAAAATTCCAACATCAACTGTCCGGAAAATTGTGAATAATCCCATTTCAGCGAGGAAGAAAAGAAGCGATGCTGACATTTTCTCGAGTGTAGATGAAAGTGATCAAGATATAATACGGTGTAAAATTTACCAGTTATACGAGGAACAAAGCGTGCCTACATTAGATATCTTAATTAGGAGGCTTGAAAAAGATGAAACTATTGTTAAATGTGGCAGAACTACCTAATGGAAGCGTATTCAACACATGGGTTTTAGATGCAAAAAAAAAAATTGACAAAAGGTAAGTTTTAATGGAATCTTTTAGAATTCGGAAATGGCCGCTGGAATATCTAGAAAAAATTAGGATTTACAGAGAACAACAAAAGCCAATTAGTACTTGGACGAATCCTGGTTCAACACTTATGACACCCCCGAATAGGGTTGGGTTCACTCAACTGATAAGTGTAAAACAAACGCGCCATCAAAAAGAGGTAAAGGAATAACTATTTTGCATGCTGGCTCTAAAGATGGTTAGACTCTAAATGGACTTTCTCTGTCTGCGAAAAATATTAAAGATTCTTCTCTGGATTACCATGAAGACACCACCGCTGATTTATTTGAAAGTTGGTTTAAAAACAAACTAGTTCCAAACATTCCTCCTAATAGCGTCATTGTAATCGAGAATGCACAATAGGCAGTAAACAGTTGACTAAAATCCCTTCCTCATGCGACACACCACTCTATATTTAATCCCATTGAACATGTTTGGCACCAACTGAAATCTGCCATTCGTCGTAACAGTGCTTTTCCCCGTGTTAACTCCAATGTCTTCAAACTTAAAGTTTTTAACATCCCTCCACAAAGTTGGGCAAATTCTGTTAATCATATTGCAAATATTATAGAACAAATAATAATTAGAACACGCGTTGATAGCGATAGTGATACTGATATATTATGTGAATAATTTTAAGTAATTTAAGTAGGTAATAAAAATAATTTGTAATTTTATTTTTAAACATAAATACATACATAAATAAATAAATATTGTTTAGTATCTTTCCTAACAAAACCCCAAATAATTAAATTCTAAGCAAAGTACGAACCTGTTCGGCCATATTTCATTCTTACAGCTTTATCGGATCTTTCCTTAATTCGTATCAGTTAGTCACTTTCTTATATCTATGAACAGACTTTACCTACTCCAGCCCTAAAGTAAGGTTAATGTTAGTATGAATATTAAAAACACATTTATAAATAAATAATAAAATTGGCGTTTCCCATAAGCAGGTTTATACCATGAAAACTTCAATTTAACATAACTTTAAAACTCTTATATATAAAGACTTTTTTTAGAGAAGATAAATAAAAAATCCTAATATAAAATAAATCTCAAAAATTTTAATTTCTCAATGGCGTAGATTTAATTAGATTTAAATTTGATATTGATGGGGTAAATCACTGAACTAATTTCAATAATATTGTTTTAACTATGTATAAGAACACTTTAGTAATAATAAATCGGATCTACCACAATAAAAATTAATAATAATTATAATAAGATCCTAACAATAACAATAAGCGGAATAGTGGGAAATATATTACTAAATGGGTGTAAATAAATGCAATATGGCAATTAAATTCGACGCAGTTTTATATAGAATGCCAAAAACAACAAAACAATTCGAAAGAAAAAAATGTGTACTGCATATACTTGATATTAAATTGATTTAAAGATATTCTACCTACTACCCTTAGAGTTTTGATTACTCATACAAAATTTATAAATATGTATTTGAACGGAAATGCCCTGTTGCAGATATGCTATAAGCCAGGGAATATCAGCGATGCTGTTTGAAACCGCTCCTCGATGGATGCACGTTGCCATGTAATACCAAAAAAGCACTAACACAGTTTCAAATCAATATCTCCACTCACAAATTATTAAGCTGACAGCTTTTATAACAATAAAAAATATTGTTTAAGACCTTGACGAAATAAGCTGGAATTAAATCAAAATTAGATGGATTTGCAATCACCACCCAGATCGTCATTGTGGATGAAACACCACTGCGTCGAATGGTTTGCTGGCATAACTAGCCGGAATTGGTACGCGCGCCTCTACGAAAGTGTTGAGGGGTAGTTAGTTATAATCGTATGGAAATTTTCCTACGAGAGGTCATTGCCAATTTACATTTTGTTGTTGTAAGGATTTATTCGTGTTTTCCTCGAAGCTTTTTGAATTTGGTTTTAGTTTCAAGGAACTACGGAAACGAGTATCGATAATTCATTGCCGTGAACAATTTGTTGAAGTGAGCGCTGAAAGCAACGTCACGCAATCTGTGTTTGTTTATTTTCCCCTCAAGTCTAAATAATAATATGAGATATTTTAAATTCTTGCACAAAATATTTGACAAAATTACTTAATACCAATGCAAACTAATTTACTTACAAATTGACATCTCAAAAGTGGAAGTAAAGCTCTTGATTCAGCTACTCAACATTAACCATTTTTCCAACATTACCATAATAATAAACCAACAAGCTGTAATAATCATAATAAGGGTCTAAACTTCATTATTAGAAGAATAATAATTTATTTAGGACATATGCCTTTATAATTACGACCTATCCAAGATGTTTTTCGTTCTTAGAGCAGCACTGGCAATTTCATTCCAAAACAATAAGTACGTTGATAAACAATATTTCATAACCTTAAATACTAGAATTGCTAGTAACAGTTGAAACACTATTTACAAAACTTTTGGGTACCTCCTGCATCGGTTGTTGTTGAATCGAACTTGCTGAAACTGACTGAAACTGAAACTGGTTTCGGTGAAATTCTGAAGAAACCAACAGTATGGATTGACGGGACGTGAACGAGTTCTATTAGATTTTTCAATTTATCATAAACCTTCACACACGGACACAGTGATACATAACAGCTCAAATCACCCTTATACACACAAAATGGCTGCATTTCACTCTTTTATACACAGACTTATTAATACGCCACTCTCAACAGAAAATTACAACAAAGAACTTAATATCATTAAACAAATTGCACTGAACAACGGCTACAATCCGTCCATTATAGATAAAATTATAAATAAAAAACTAATCCAGACAACAGTAAACTCTATTTATCCACAACTAAATTCAGAACACGAACAATTTAAAACAATTACATACATAGGAGAACCGAGTGAAAAAGTTTCAAAACATTTGTTAAAATGTGGGTTAAAAATAGCTTTCAGAACTAACAACACAATAGGAAAATTTTTAAAAAACAATAAAACGAAATGTCTAAAATCCTAAAAATGAGGTGTCTACAGATTGAAATGCGGATCTAAAATTTACATTGGACGAACAGGTAGATCCTTCAAGAAACGCATTAACAAACATAAAAGAGCGTTTAAAAACAATAGTTTAGATTCTAATTATGCTACACACTTAAACACAGAAAATCACATTTTTGACGACAATTTTGATATTTTACATTCAGCCACAAAAATTAAAAAAAAAATGAGACATTCAAATGTATTACTTAAGGATCAATTAGGTTTAAATAGCTCTCCTTTATTGAACTTAAATTCTCACAACATTAATTAAGGTTTTATGGTCATTTTTTGGTATATATAGTAGCAGGTAGTTTGTAAATATTACATTTAATAAAGACACGGACAATGGAAATTAACGTTATTATTATTATTGTTAACATTTGTCAACCGATCGCTAATAAACGCCTCATTGATTCATACTATTTTTTCTACGTACCCTTAGTTTTTGGGCATATTTCTGCAAAACAAACAGCCTTAAAGCGATATTTTGCTCAAGCTTAAGTGGTAGAGTTGAAAAATAATGTTATTGTTGAAAAAAATAAATAAAAATAAATTGGTAAATTCCACGGAACCACGTCTCCGCCTAGTGTCGAGACAGTCGGTCGTCTTCATATCTGGCACCAGCGGTGACCTTTGTCTCCCTCCGCTTGATTCACTAACCGGCATGAAAACTCTCGTGGGGTTTGCCAAAGGCTTCGCGGGACTCCGGTTGCGGTTCAAGACACACGCCGGTTCAGTTTGGTATTTGACCGACACGTGCGATAGGGCCGCGGTCCACGACGAAAACGTCGCGACGCTCGTATCTCTAAAGTTGGGGCGGTTAAGTTGGTTAAAAAAAATGTGTCGCGTGTGGGTGAATGCCTATTCAAAATAGTTCGAAGAACAAGATTGACGCATAAATAAGAAGACATTGACCTTCGCGTAGGTGCTCGTGATGAATTAAGTACACCTCGTGGTGACTAAGTGTCTGCTGCGAATAATGACGCCATTTAGTAGTCGTGACGTTCGCTCGAGAGCATTTTTTTAACGAGGAGCAAACCGGCCAAGTAAAACCTGATCCTCGAATTTCGAATTGCGAGGTAAGTAAAAAGTGGTACCCGGTAGATTCAGTTTTTTCAGTAAATGGCCCATTACTAATTCTGGTGTCGTGCTTAGGCCCAAATGCGGCTTAGCGGCTATCTCTTGACGTAATGTTTTATTTATACCTACGTACCCGAATACGAAGTAGAAAAAACGAGCGGTTGAAAGAAAAATTTATGAATCCACTTTTACTCGTCACGGATTTCGTTTTCTGTTATTTGGAAGGTTGAAACTACAGGTCTAAATAGTCTAACTTGTAACAATCCTTGAAAAGGGATAAAAGAGTACATATAGATACTAAATACAAATTACTTTTACTCGCGAATGTTGGCAATCTACTAAGAGTTGAGAATTAAACTTATTAAACGTTTCATTTATTAATAACTAAATGAGTCAAATACTTTTTAAAAGTTGCATTCTTTTCACGAATCCCACTTAAAAAATGTGTATTAGAATACAAGTTTTTGGCGATAAACGCGAGATCATGAAGAGGTATGAATATATTACCGAATTGCAATTATAGAAACTATAAAAGAAGAAAATGAAGAGAAATAAGATATAATTTAATAACAATATATTATATAGATTCAATAAAAAATGTCGTGAGTCCGCACACGTACCACAGTTATTGTAACATCTAGCCCACATAATAAGTGGGGCCCCCATGAATTGTGATGTCACATAGGCACAGGCTAGAAAAAACCTTGAAGGTTTAGGAAAATAAAATGCGGGCCTATGTCTAGCTTCTACTCTGGGACAAATACAATTTTTATTAATTATTTCGAAAGAATGAATAGAGAGTTAATTGAAATAGAAATTTACCGCGAAAAGATTTAAACAATTATTATTATTAAAATATTTCAAAATGCTAATTATAATGTAAAATATAGTTTTTACTTTTACACGAATTGATAAATCAATTTCTACCGTTTAAACAGTTTTTTAGAATACGTTTCGGTATAGGTAGATGATTTTTATTAAATAAATGTTTGGACAATGGAAGTTCAGTGTGGCAGACAGATCTTTTTTTTTCTTGGTTTGGAGAAAATTGCGAGGTTGCCAAAGTTATACAATCAAAGAACTATTTTTCGTGAAATATGTTCCATACCTACCCAAAACCTCTTTTCATGGCTTTTTCCTAGTTTTTTAAATATTGCACATCTTTTTCACATCTTTAAGGAAAAGATTGGCAACTAAAACTATTTTAGTCAAGTTTATTTTGAAAAATAAATAATTCGTCGGTGATGCACCAGCGTACACTTTTTTGTCAGCTTTACAGCAATACTTTGTTTATTCATATTTCTATAAAAACGAATATTAAGAGAATAAAAAAAAAATACTTTTGAAAGTCTTGGTCAACTTTTACCTAATTTTTCTCTGATTTTTTAAACTCTGAATCTTTATCGTGTTCAGCTTTTGCCCACCTGCCACGTTTGTTATGCTTAGATTTTTGCATTTTTAAAACTTAATTCATTAGTTTTTGGTACCCTTGTAGCTCCAAAAACTAGAAATATTAAAGAAAAAGTTTTTTACTATAGTAGGCTTGCGTTTTTAAATTTTAAATGAGATTCTGATAGCCTGCCGAATATTTTGTGAGTAACAAGGTAGTTTATTATTGAACTGGTGGCTTTTACTTGATGAAAATGCATTTATCAAAATAAATAAGAACTAAAAGTTCAGATTTTAACGAAATTATATATTATGACATGACAATTGTTTCGACAACACCGTGTCTTTATCAAATGTCTTTGCACACTTGACACTTGTTTCGACACGGTGTTGTCGAAACAATTGTCATGTCATAATATATAATTTCGTCAAAATCTGAACTTTTAGTTCTTATTTATTTTGATTTTAGGTAATTTATTAACGAAGGAAAGGTTGATAATCACTATTTTTCCATTTTATCCTCTATAATTGACACTATTTTTAGTTTGTTGATCTTTATCAAACTTTCATTTTTGCTCATTATTAGCAGTACGCGGAGTCTGTATTTACTTACACACCATTGCTATTGTGACAGAATTACTTTTTTATGGAAACTACTATAGATACTAGAATATCGTTTTTATGTAATTGACAAAAGTAAAAGTGAATGAGGCAACGTTCTTTAACGTAGTTAATCGATAGTAATTACAGGTATGGGGCAATTTGTTTTCGCCCTCATTTTAACAAACCAGCGATATGTTTGTATTCGACTACTCACATAATAATTATGGCATCGTCATAAATGAGGGGAATAAGTCGATTAGATTTAGTAAACCCGGTTTGTTCGAAGTTTATTACAAAGCGATGTTGTTAATATGAAATGAACTAATAATTGATTCAAGCTTGGATTCAAATGTCTTGTATCGTGGAAAATTTCTAGAAAAAAAATGCATTTTGTCATATTCTTCCATCCCCGCCTTTTTAAAGAGATACTGTCTATATACAAATGTAGCAATTCATTATTTTTATTAATCATATTTGATCAAAAGTTAAAAAATGTATATTGTATTGTTAAGATGTTTGGGTAAGATCTACGTCATGTCATTTTCAAAGATCAATTTTGTATTAGAATTTGATGGAATTTCTAGTCTTTTACTTCTTAGTGGTGGATGATGTGTAACTTTCCAAAATATTTAAAAACTGTCCAAAACATTAGAAGAAAACTCACAAGTTTTTTGTTTTCTTTCGAAAGGAACAATTCCTACTACACAAGTGCAAAGAAAAGAGAAAAACTTTTTGTGGGAATTTAATTTGTCTTTGTTATTCGACCCGATAATATAAGTTATTTAATCAATGAGATGTTAGGACAAATTTCTAATTGTGCATTGTGGCGTGTGTGTACAAAGGCTTTTCAACAAAAGTAAAGTAAGAGTAATTGTTGCCTATATCAACATTTTTTCCATTTGAAAACATTTCCATTTAAAAGATGAACAGCAAATTAATAGGTATCATCTCTTCCGAGCACTTGTGAACTGCTATAGGCTCTCTCAACATAATTCCCGAACAACTAATAGTAAATTGACGATATAACTAAAAACGAAATAATTCGAGTGTCAGCGATAAATATACGTGTACAGTGTCTATTTTTATCTATGGAATTGGAACACATTCGTAGAGAACTAGCTAAGCGACCAAATGGAGATTATTTTCGAAATATAGCCTTATATATGCATACAAACAAATGGAAGATTTTCTTAGCAACGAAAACTAACTAAATTATGTATGCGTGCACTATCAGTCACTCCAAGTCCCCTTTAAAGTCACCAAGGAAATATAGAATATACTTTAGAAAAAAGTTGTATTTTCTTAAGCATTTTGGAAATTTCACGACTAATTTTTTGTTCTTCTATAACCTTATATTTTTTTGATTTTTCACAACTTTATATAATACGTGACTATTAAATTAATTACTGTTTCCATAATACTATATGCTGCAAGACTCGATATTTAAAGTTTTAACTCTAGTATCAACGCCCTTGGTTCGCAATGCCATAACAAAAGTTCAGCCTATGGCCTAATATGGCTTCCACGATGAACACAAACACAAATTTGTTTTACCGTGTGGTTTCGTAAAACCCAAAATTCGCATTCAACGTGTCAATAAATTTTATCCGTCGAGGGACTCGCATTGATTTCTAATTTCCTGGATTGGAAAGCGTTCATCGCGAAACAGATTTAGCTTTTATACGCCTTTTAACCTAAAAGAAATTTTACTGGTCAATACGGCAAAAGTCTCAGTCGTTTCATCCGATTTCACTGTCTGTTGAAGGCTCGTTAAGAAACAGTTTCATTATTGCAAGGGGATTGATCCGGTTCTTTGTTCTTTTTTTTCAGTAACGCAAAATAATAACGTATTGCAGTGTATGTTAGATAATTAGGAAAATCCATTATTTATTTCCAGACATCGCCAAGACGCTGAAGTGGGCCATTAAATACGCCTTAAATTTAGAATTTTCTAAAATTAGTCCGAATTTCTTCGATAAACAGAAGGCGTAAAAGGTATCGATTTAGTGTGTACAGGATGTTGGAAAATAACGTCGAAATAAGAAAAGCAGTTCATATTAGGCCATAGGCTGAACTTTTGTTATGGCATTGCGAACCAAGGGCGTCGATACTAGAATTAAAAATATCGAGTCATGCAGCATATAATATTATAGAAACAGTAATATCGCTATTAATTTAAAAGTCGCGTATTGTATAGAGTTGCAAAAAATGAAGAAAATTTAAGGTTATAGAAGAACAAAAAATTAGTGGTGAAATTCCCAAAATGCATAAGAAAATACAACTTTTTTCTGAAGTATATTCTATATTTCCTTGGTGATTTTAAAGAGGACTTGGAGTGACTGATAGTGGACGCATGCATAAATTAACACCAAATTGCGTAAAAAGAAATTAGTTAGTTTTCGTTGGTAAGAAAAACTTCCATTTGTTTATATGCATATTTGCAATTTGCAAATTTGCCGCCAAATTGGGTTTAAATAATCTCCAATTCCATAGACAAAAATACACACGGAATAGTTCCTGTACACGTATCTTTATCGCTGACACTCGAATTATTTCGTTTTTAGTTATATCGTTAATTTACTATCAGTTGTTCGGGAATTATGTTGAGAGAGCCTATAGCAGTTGACAAGTGCTCGGAAGAGATGTTACCTTTTAATTTGCTATTCATCCTTTCCATGGAAATGTTTTCAAATGGAAAAAATGTTGATATAGGCAACAGTTACTCTTACTTTACTTTTGTTGAAAAGCCTTTGTAGACACACGCCACAATGCACGATTAGAAATTTGTCCTAACAACTCATTTATTAAATAACTTATATTATCGGGTCGAATAACAAAGACAAATTAAATTCCCAGAAAAAGTTTTTCTCTTTTCTTTGCACTTGTTTAGTAGGAATTGTTCCTTTCGAAAGAAAACAAAAAACTAGTGAGTTTTCTTCTAATGTTTTGGACAGTTTTCGAATGATATTTTGGAAAGTTACACATTATCCACCACTCCACCACTAAG